CGAAACAAATGTTTGTAGCATTAGTAATAATAATTTTCTAAAGTTGTTTTAAGGTGATATTTGGCCAAACCTTAGGGGTGTCAGTAAAATTAACCCTTGAATATATTAATATCAACTTTATTGCATAATTTAAATTGATAATTGCATAGTCTTGCTTAATCTTTTAATTCGAAATATTTTCCATTATATGTCATATATTGTATTCATCCACCCCTTCAGAGTCAATACTTGGGTAATATTTTGGATTAGAATGTATTAAAAATTAGGGATAAAATTATAATTTCACACCTTTTTAACGGTGTCGGTGATTGACAGAAAAGTAATTTGGGGTGTGAGTGATAGTTACTTTCAAAACTTATCTCCATGTAAGTTTTGACCAAACCTCAATATGTGTCATTGAAATTAATCTAAATTACTTTGTTAAGCCTTTAAAGCCGTGTTTGATTACAAATTAAGAATGGAATCAAATGACAAACAAACAACAAATAACTTTATGTTCTGTTTGGCGGCACCGAATCAGCTCCTTGATTTGATATTGGAAAAAATTTAATTCAAAATTTATACTAAATTTTTTCTAATCTCAAATCTAAGGTACCGATTTGGTACTTCTAAACATATCATCAAGCAAAAAGTAACATTCTCCTTAACTATGTAATAGTAATCAATTACAATTTGTTGTTGGGTACAAATGTATAATTCCTAGTTATCATCTACTAGATTCATGGGCTAGGCCATGAACAATGAGTTACAAGGTTGAAATGAAACAAGTATGAAATTTATGTGTTACACTAAGGGTTCTGTGATCCGATGGTATCTCTTTTATCTTTTAAAATAGATAATGAGAGTTCGAGTTTCTAAAAGAATAAAATGAATGTGTGAGTTTTTTTTTTTTTTTTTTTTGTCAATAACCAAAAAAAATAAATATAAATAAATAAATAAATTTATATGTTACTTCCATTTCCCTGATAGGAGGTCTGAGAGGAAGCAGGATCGATGATTGGACGGCTCTGTGAACGACCATGATGGGAGTTGGTAATAACAAGAATTTTTTTACGGTGTGTAGTTCGATATGCGATATATATATATTTTTTTATGTGCGATACGTACCTATTAATTTTTATTGACTTTATTCGACAGAATAATAGTGACCAATATCATCATCTTTGTAAATTAAGGCGAAGGCTGACACAAATAGGACGGTTGGGGACGTGATGGCTTGGAGCCGCATGGTTGACATGACAACTTGATTCGTACTGTCAAACACTCAAGTATAGTTGTCTCGGACAGATTGGACTTAACAAGGCCACAGGCCTCCCTGTATTTGAAAGTTACTAAATTGGTCATGAGGTTTTATTAATTAGGGTCGGTTTGTAAATGACAGACATACCCTTTGTCTAATGTTCGGCCATTGCATCTTCCCACTTTTCTACTTAGGCCCAATATGGTCCATTGCCACCTTTCTTGGAAGCAAATGTTCAATTTGAGTGCGAACGTTATTATAAAGTATCAACTAAATTTTATTTTTGAAAATGATGGAGCATGATTTGACTTTCTAACCTAAATTGGATAAAGCCACTTATTTGTTTTTTCTTTCTTAAGCTACTCGGACCAAACAAGAAGCATGCAATCACGCCAATCAGTAAAGAAGATGCTTAACAAGGAAGAAATCTAAAGAAAATGAAATAAATTTTTTACAGTAATCTCATAAAAAAAAATTAGGCTCCAGACATAAAATATTTTTATCAAAAAAGATTTTACTTTTTTAAGTAAAATATATATGTAATTTTTTTTTTTTTTTTTTTTTTAGCAAATGGCTAAGTTGAGTTCATCGAACAGAACAGTGCCTGTAAAATAACTTGTCGAAAATTAATTGGTAAATGCAAAAAGGATAATACTTGGGTCCTCCCATGAGAGGATAGTTCATTATCCTAACTGATGTGGCCCAATACAATTTAGACACATGTCCAAATTTTTTAAAAAAAAATAATGATTATTATCCAACTTCTTATTGGTCAAATCCAATATTTTGTTTTCTTTTACTGTTTATAAGTTCCCCCCTCCCCCCCCCCTCCCCTCACAAATTCCATACCCAACTTCAATCTGAAATCTTAGTCTATCTACATCAATCAAACACTCAACTTTTAAAATTTTTAATAATAATAATTGTCCAACTTCTTACCGGTTAAACTCAATTTTTATTTATTTATTTATTTAAATTTTTAGAATCCATTTTCTCTTCCTTCCCCGTCTCTCTCTCTCTCTTTTCCTTCATAAATTTCCATACCCAACCTCAATTTGAAATCATAGTCTATTTACATCAATCAAACACTAAAAACACTCAACTTTTATTCAATATATAAAACAATATACAAACCAATAGAAACTCATTGACACAAAATTGCACCAATTAGAATTTGTAATATTCACAAACTTTTAATCTTTCTTTTTTATATTTTCTACCAATGAGAGAGAGGAAAAAAAAAATTCAACCCTTAACCATATCAATTGAAGGTGGTGGGAACTTGAGAGGGATGGAAAAGATAAATCTAATTCTGACAAAAAATAAATTTACAAGAAAAATTAACTCTGACTAAGAAATAAATATACTAAAAAACCTCTATTCAAATATAGGTTAACATCAAATTCATATTCTTTCCCTATTTAACACTTGATATAGTACATTCTTTAAATAAATTTAGTAATTTTTTAATTTGGGTATAGAAACAATAGTAGGATTGTGTTTAACCAGTAAGAAAATAAGTAATGATTATTTTTAAAAAATTTAAAATTTTAAACACTTGTGTAAATTGTATTGGATCACATTAGCTTGGAGGATGAACTTTATCCTCCAAATAAAGGACCCAAGTATTATCTATTAAAAAATACAATTAAAACAAAGATAAAAATGATGATGAACCACGACTTAAATTGAACAAAGATCTTATAAAATGGGTATGGAGCATTGAGCACCCAAAATCGTACCATTCCAAATGATACAACAAGTTTCCATAGCTGGATCAACTTAATATAATTAATTTGTACAATATTGATAAAGATGGTTATCATTTCCATATAAATTTATAATGTGCCCTCCTCTCAGTGTTGTCTTTGTTTTGGCAATTTTTTTTTTTACATAGGCTCTGTTTCAACGTAAAATATTTTACATAGGCTCCGCCTGAAAAATATTTTTCTCTTATAGGTACACTATTTTATTTTTTTTAGTTTTTATTTTTTAGTATTTGACAAAGGTATAGATCGAGTCCATTGAGCGGGGAGTGTAAAATAACTTGACAAAAAAATTAATCAATAAGTTAATTTTGTTATATTTTAATTTTTTTTCTTTATAAATACTTTACGACAACCAAAACACAAAAAATAAAAAATATATATAGGAGTGTAAAAAAACCTAGACCATAAGAATTAAAAAACTGTGATAATTGAAAATGGGGACATGTGCTTTAGTGTTTTTCAAAAGCATATAGAACAAAGAAAAAGCCAAAGGTTCCCCATATTTTCAGATTTTTATACCAAATAATGAGATTATTGAGGCTCTTTAGCCCATTCCTTTGAGTTGTTTAAGTCAATAAAAAATAAAGGCCTCTAGAAATCAGAATCCACAAAGTTGCACCAAAAGTTGTTTTGTTCCTCAAATAATAATAATAAAAAGAATAAAGTCAAAAGGTAGACTTTTTTTTCAAATACTCAAAGTATGCATATGTTTGCCAATTTTCTTTGGGCCGAAGTAAACCCGAAAAGGCAAAGTCCAGCCCACAAGCCGTCATTAAGAAACGGTAATGCTATCATGAGGTATATGTGCAAGTTTCATGATAATTATCATAAATTCTTATTATCCAAATTTTACACTAATAAGTTTATAAAAAGGATTATATAATCAAATATATATATATATATAATATATATATATATATATATTTGATTATATAATCCTTTTTATAAACTTATTAGTGTAAAATTTGGATAATAAGAATTTATGATAATTATATATATATCTTTCCTAATATATATATATATATATTTGATTATATAATCCTTTTTATAAACTTATTAGTGTAAAATTTGGATAATAAGAATTTATGATAATTATATATATATCTTTCCTAATATTCAAATAAACTTACACATACTCACAATATTGCTCCTAATATAATTTGAACTCGAAAGAGAGATTTATATATATTTTTTATAGGCTTCACTCGATCAAATTAAACTACTATTTTGAATTTTATTTTTATACCGTATTTATTTTGTTTTTTTAAGCGTGAGATATTTTTAATAATGGTTATATGCTGACATAATTTGTGTATTATTTAGGGTAAAGTTTAGGCATATTACACACAGATAGATAGTTCGGCCTATATTACCTTCACTTCTCCTTTGTGTTTAGGGTGAGTGCTTAACAACACTTAAACATTTTCATTCCTGCAAATTTGTTGACCAAAATTTATTAAATGACAATTTTGCCCTTCCCTTGTTTGAAGAGATAATAGGGTAAATTACACTAATCTCTCTTGAAATTTGGGTAAATTACACATAAGTCAAGTGGATTTTCATATTAACAAATATTTGTAATATAATAAATTATTATAATATAAAGGCATTATTGACCTTTTACACTCAAAATATCTTTGTGCAATTGGCAAACAAATTTAGGGGATATCAAAGTAATAAATACTAAACAGTTAATTTGCCAAAACCGGAGGGCTATTTTAAAACAGAGCTCATAACAAAAATCCTGAGTTCAACCGCACGATAGCATCTTTGAGAAAATACGGACTTACTTAACGAACAAGTCAAGTAAGCAGTTCCACACGTCAGAATCTACCCATCAGGTCACGCCAATTGACCCAACGTTATTTCATTAATTACTAAAATATCCTTAATCATTAGCCGTTGCCGACTAGGACAAGGATTAACTAGTAAATTCACTGATACGAAGATATACAGGAATCATCCTGTATATATATATATAGGCGGTAAACGAAGTTCGATTCCAGAAGTTCTTGATCGATTGATACACAAACCGTTGAGAGCTTCTCGTTGTATAGCAATATACAGAGATCATGGATTCGAATACGATGGAGATGCTGAATCATAACCAAGTCGAGAGGAGCATTGTAGACAAAATTAGGGTTAGGGTTCCTCCGAAATCATCATCATCCTCGTCGTCTTCGGCGTTACCAAACCGCAACAATTGCTTTGGCGGTGGACATGATTGTTGTTATACTCGTTTCTTGGTTCAGAATCACTCGAATTTCAAGCGAAGTGGACCGCCGACTCGATTCATGTCCTACAGAGATGGATCGTGGTCTGATTTCTCGAGCGAAGTGTTTGGTTCTCTTCAATCGGGTTTCTTGGAGGGCAAGCCAGTGGTGGATGTTGGAATTGGAGGCATTCAATTCCTGTTTGATTTCTATCGGATGTTGCAGATTGATTGCGCTGGCGGTTGTCAGAGGTCCATCGCTTGGATGGATGTGGACGGCAATTGTTTCTTCCCGAAAGAGTTCGTCGATGGCGGTCAAGAATTCGCGGATAGTTCTGGAAATCAAGAGATTGAAATTGTGAATGTTGCAGCGAACTTGGCCACTGAAAATCCGAAAATTGAGATCGAGATACGAATTGGAGAGGGTTGGAATTCGAGTAAGAGGAACAGAGAGGCGGTGGAGTCTGAATTCAGAGGAGAAGAGAAAGCGGTGGGAAGTTGTTCGAGTGGACAAGGGGATGGATTGAAGAAGCAGCGGCTTTTGACGTCGGAATTGGAATCCCCTAGGTGGCCGAAGGCCAAACTGTTGAAAGAAGGGCAGAACGCATATTCAATTGTGAAGAATTTATTTCTATCTGGGATTGGTAATGTGGAACCTGGTGCTACAATCACTTCAATACATCAGTATACGAGAACAGGTCCATTTGATAGAGCTCGATATGAAGTTTTCCAGAAGCAGATGGAGCTTACCAAGGCTGCTAGGGGAGAGTCCCATATGTCATATGCTTGGCATGGGACGTCGGCGAAAGGCGTGGCTAGCATTTTTACTCATGGGTTTGGGGTGCCTAACAAGGTTCCTGGTCCTGGAGATCATGGGGTTGGTATCTACTTGTCTCCTGTTCGATCCCCGCAGATGAGGTATGTTGAAATATGTAAATATTTTTATATAATTATGGAGCAAAATCCTCCCCAATCATGGCAAGGTCAATTTCCTTCCAATATTTACATGGTATCAGAGCCAAGTTGTTCTTGTAATCCCATCTAGAATTTGAGGGGAAGTATTTAAATTATTATCATGGAGTATTTAAATTATTATCATGGAGCATATTCTTCACATTGTTGTTCCGGCTTTTCCTGGGGTTGTTCCGGCTTTGTTCCGGACACCTTTTCATCATCTTTCAAGGCGTTTCTTCATCTTTCAGGGAGTGTTGAAATATATAAATGTTCTTTTATATAATTGTGGAGCAAAATCCTCCACCAATCATGGTTATCCGGTCAATTTCCTTCCAATTTTTAACACTACATCTTTATGACTTCATTGATAATAGACATTTGTGTATCATTTACTTGTTTGGCAATAGTGGTTTCTAGTTTCAGGCAATGACTGATGGTTGAATTGGGTTTCAGTGCATTGTTATCGGAGGCTGATGATAATGGCGAAAAACATGTTATTTTGTGTCGTGTTATACTGGGCAAATGTGAAAAAGTTGAGGCAGGATCGAGACAGCTTTATCCTTCCAGTGAGGATTTTGATACTGGTGTGGATGATCTTCAGAATCCCAAATGGTATGTTGTGTGGTGTGCCAATATGAACAGTCACATTCTTCCCGAGTGCGTTGTGAGCTACAAATCTTCTGATCAAGCATTGGGTATGTATGGTTTTATTTGGTTATTTAATATATCCTTCTTTTTAGTTCTGCTAACTAGAATTTTGTTGTCATCTTGCAGGTCTATTGAATGGATCATCTCTTGTGAAGTCTGTTCCAAATGGGTCGGATGCATCGATTGTCACATTGTTTTCCAAATTGAGGAATTTCCTCCCTCCCTCAAAACTTAATGAACTTCGAATTTTGTGCAGCACTTACAAGGTAAATTTCTCTACTGTTCCAATTGAAAGTATTTGCTTCTTCCAAATTTATTGAACATAAAAAGTGAGCCAGAAAAACCAAGTTTGAAGTAACTGTGCTTCTCTGTGTGTTATGTCAGGATGGAAAACTGGCCAAAGGCACATTCATAAAACTGTTGAGGTCAGTAGTTGGGGATGAGATGCTCCTTTCGACTATTCAAGAAATTCGTGGCTGAATGAGGTTTATCAAGTTTTTGTTTCTGTATGAAGCGTTTACAATTTAGAAACGAGTCTCATTATGGATTATCCATTTATACAATCAAACGTAATGTTACCTCACAAAAAGATTTAAAAGGAAAGTGTTATAGGCATTTTTTTTTTTTTGTTGTAGTTTTTTTCTTTCTTTTTTATCTTCATCTTACATGTAACTAACCTTCAAGTTCATTTGGAAAGTTGTCATTGTTAATGATATGAAGTACTTGCCTTAATGATTTTAGTGTTAACTTGATATAAGATCAAGTTGGATTCTCTCCGTGTGTGTTTTCCTGGTGTGTGTGTTTTTGCAGCGTGCGTGTAAGTGGGTGGCACAAGCAAGGGTCACAGTCATTGCATGCATAAGATGTGAAAGTTATATGATATATTTGGCTGTGAAAGTCATAAGATATATTTGGCTTGCTATTGATGAATTTTTACCTTTTTTTTTTTTTTTTTTTCATATATGATGTGCAAGGATATTATTTCAATTTTTTTTGTTGATAATGCAAGGATAATATGGACTCTCATTTTAATTAGTTAACTAATTGGTATTAGTGAATGCTCCTCTGTTGGGTGCCCACAAAACTCTATCTTCTCCTCGTTAAATAGTTCTTACTTACAGTAATGAAATAACCAAAACGAATTTAATATAAATAGCAAACCATGCATATTAACCAAGTGCAATGGGTAAATCCTTTCATACGTTTCGTATGAAGAGTCACTACACAGACATAAAGAAGAAACATTTTGAGGCTATTTTTGAGTTGGACAAAGATGGTCTTGAGATCCCTTTTTCCGAAGAGGAAGTGCTAAAGGCTTTGTTGAGTTGCAATGGTGACAAAGCTTCGGGGCCAGATGGGTTTACTATGCAATTTCTGTTGGAAAGTTGGGAGGTGGTGAGAAATGAGGTGATGGGTCCCTTCTAGGAGTTTCATTCTAAAGGCGTCTTCGAGAAGTCATTAAATGCCTCTTTCATTGCCAAGATTCTTGCTCTTAGGATGAGGGATGTCATGGATGGGATTATTTCGGATTCCCAGAATGCTTTTGTCAGAGGACGGCAGATCCTAGACTCAGTTCTTATTGCAGGCGAATGTGTGGATTCCAGATTGCGAAGTGGTATACCTGGAGTTTTATGCAAACTTGACTTTGAAAAAGCTTATTATCATGTTAATTGGAATTTCCTGCTGTACTTACTTCAGAGAATGGGGTTTGGAAGTAGATGGAGGAAATGGAGAGAGACATGTCTTTCATCTGTAAAGTTCTCTGTTCTCGTGAATGGGTCTCCTGCTGGTTTCTTCGAGTGTTCTCGGTGTTTGAGACAGGGAGATCCCTTGTCGTCTTTTCTTTTTCTCGTCGTAATGGAGGGCTTGAGCATACTTATGAGGAGGGCAGAGGATCTCGGTCTTATCAAGGGCTTTAGAGTGGGCATAGATCTAGCTCATCAGTTGGAGATCTCTTATTTACTGTTCGTGGATGATACCTTGGTCTTTTGTGATGTTGCTGTGTCTCAACTTAGATATCTGAGGTGCATTCTGGTCCGTTTTTAGGCGGTTTCTGGGCTGAAGGTTAATGTGGCTAAGAGCGTGCTTGTCCCGGTTGGGGATGTTCAGGATATTTCCTCCTTAGCTGCAGTTCTTGGGTGTAGGGTGAGCTCTTCCCCTATTCCTTATTTGGGTTTGCCTTTGGGGGTCTTTTCTAGGAGAGATTGGCAGGGTGGAAGAAGCAATATCTGTCTGGGGCCGCCGGGGGGGGGGGGGGGGGGGGGGGGGGGTTGCTCTCAAAAAGAGCACTCTCTCGAGCCTTCCTACTTATTTTTTTATCTGTGTTCCAAATTCCATGCTCGGTTGCCGAAAGGATTGAAAAGATCCAAAGGGATTTCCTCTAGGGCGGAAGGGGCGAAGAGTTTAAGTATCATCTCGTCAGATGGGAGCAAGTTTGCAAGCCCATGAAGTCGGGTGGTCTGGGTATCCGGAGGTGGTTTCCCTTTAATCAAGCTCTCTTGGGCAAATGGTTATGGAGATTCGGCAGGGAAAGGCATCGCCCTTGGAGAAGGCTTGTTTCATGTCGTTTTGGGGAGGAGAGTGACGGCTGGCTTACTCGTCCAGTCTCTATTGGGTAATACCTTGATCTTCTAGGGTCTGATTAACGCATGGAGGGGATGCCGCGTGAGAAGCAGTGTACGCGATTATTTGGTGGTGCATTTGGAAGGAGAGGAATAGCAGAATGTTTGAAAGGAAGGAGTCGTCCTTGGCTACGCTGAAATTTCATATTATTCGCTCTATCTTTAGTTATGTGAAGGGGAGTTCTTGCTCCTCTTCCGATGACTTAGTTAATTTTTTGGATTTTTTGGGTCCTTAGATCCCGGTTCCACTTTTGTTTAAGGGACGAATTCCCCTCCTCTTTAATCGATTATTACTTATCAAAAAAAAAGAAAGAAGAACAAACAGCCCACTTGCATCAGTAAGATAACTTGAATTATTCCAGTCCCACTTACAACAGTAAGATGACTAGAATTATTCCCGACAATGTCGGAACTTAGATTTTTGAAGAGATTAGGGTTAGGTTATTGAAGAAGAAGAGAGAGATTTGGGGGATTGGGGCGAGGGAGCCTAGTCTCTCAAATTCACCCTCATATCTTATATATATGTATATATATACATGCGCATGAATACAAAGATAAGGAGAAAGACTAAAATGCCCCGTGTAGAAAACTAATTCCATATGAGCAGCCCCAACATATATTATATTCTAACAATTTCTAAAGAAAAATGTGGAAGTATGAGAAAAAGGTAATAATATGATAATATCTCAGAACTCTGAAGTATATTCATAAAGACTTCTTACCGAAGAGATGGCTGTCAATTTTATAATATACTGTAACTTCTAAGGACTCCCCCCTCCCTCCCCAACACACACACACACACACCAGCATTTTTTTTTTTTTTTTGATAAGTTAATCCCCCCCCCCCCCCCCCCCCCCCACCAACATTAATAGCACTTCTACCACTTCCCTAAGCTATCACGCCGTTCCGGACCTTAATTAATACTTTTTTTTATTAGAAATGAGAATGAACTATTTCTTCACTAAAGAACAAAACACTTTTAAGGCACCATTCTTTATTTGCCAAAATCTGTCCTCCTTGAAGAAAACTTGCCCTCGAGTTTGAAATAAAATTACCGTGATCTATTAAAAGCCGAATAAGACCTTCCATCTCTTCTTTATTCTTTTCCGTATTCGAACATAACACAATTATCTTATATGGCCAACAAAGAGCTCCTTTGCAGTAACTTCCCGAGCTCTTTCTATAAACTTAGATTTCCAAAACTTGCTTGAACACATATCATGAATCAAGATGTGAATTAACTTTATTTTTGCATTAAAACAACGCCTAGCTGTATCTCGTTCCAAGAATTTATCCCAAAATCAGAACATGGAATTGATGATTTGTCAACTCCATTAATGAAGACGTTCATTTCTAACCTATTAATTTAAGCAAACAAAATATGCTTTTCCGCCTAATATGCCTCTTATGATTGGAAATTCAGTAATAGTATCTTCAAAATTTCCACCTATTTGTTTGCCGTCCAATGTAAGCTCCAAAGTTTCTATTACTCTGGAGTCAAATTTTGTGTTCATCACACCAAGAAGCTGACCTTGACTAGACTTTGTAGAATCAGATTTATTACTCTTATATCCATGATACGCAGGTTGAATAGGGACGATTGCTTCAGCTTTTAACAAATTTTTGATTGCTTCCTCAAAATTTTCTTCTTTCTCCTTAATTGCCCATTTTACCTCTTCAATCTCAGATTCACTACTGCTCGATTGAACTTTAATTGTTGCATCTTTTGATTTGATTACCTTACTTGAATTTCGTCTATCCTCACGTAAATAAACCTAATTACTCAATATTTTTATTCCCCCCCCTGTTGTCAAGTTGTGGAAGCGAGTAAGTAGAATTTACCCCAAGATCTCAATTCCTTTGCCTACATATCTGATAGATTCATTAAAGTTTTAGTTAGCATCAACATAATTCCCAAGATTGTCCTTAATCAAATGTTGTTTTCCATTGATGATGTGACTGTCTAAAACACTTGGCAGACTCCATCCTGGACCTTTGCATGTGCAGGACCAATATTCAGGTTCTATGGTGCATTTCACCATTGTTGTCCTTGTGCTTTTTTCCAGTTTAAATGATGTGGTAACACTCCAATTTTGCACTTCTATACTGTGTAAGTGCATATAGCACTGAAATCTTTTTCCAGAAAGCTGCTTGACCTAATTTTGACATTTTTTTTCCCCATTAAGTCTGATATGCCTTTGTTTGAAATTACTCCAGATTGTTCTACAATAGTTCTCAGTCGCAAAATTTGATGATGTAGATTTTCAAAGTCTTCTCTTGTTAGCTATATTGCTTCCTTGCACAGCTGTTGATTCACAATAATCTCAAATCTGATACCACTTGTAACAAATGGAAATAAGAAACAGAGATTACCAAAGAAAAATCAAGGGCAATTTATAAACTAAAAATATCTCAAAATTATTAGTTGGGGCAAAGCCCCGGACACTCCGGTTATCGAAAAAAAAATCATATTAGGCAAGACTTGTTACCATAGAGAGGGTTGTCCATTTTATAATATTACTTCTAATGACTCCTGCTTTTAGAATTCCCACACAGCATTAATACCACTTATACCTATTCCCTAAGCTATCAGCAAGTAGTTACAAACATGAATTAATACACACACACACACACACACACATTCACACACATTTATAAAAACAAGGGTGAACTTCATTAAACAATAAGACACTTTTCAAGGCACCGTTCTTTATTTGCATGAGTTACTAAAATGTACCATATGTTTCCTGTAACATATGTTACATATCTTATATTGTAACAATTATTTTATGTAATTTGAGTGAAAAAGTGCAAAACTTGAACTAAAAGTGTTTTAAGAAATGCAAAACCTTTTGTTATTTAGCATATCCTCTGGCACGGAATTGAGGCTATGGCCTAACATAGAGTGGTTGGCAAAACATGATTAATCTAGTGGACCTAAAATAATTAGGTAATGTTTTGGTTTAGTTGAATTGAAAGTTCAACCAATTAAGGAAAATGACTTGTGCATTTGGACGAGTGAAATTTCTTAGATAATTAAAATTGAAGTGAAATTGATTGCCATGGGGCATATTTGATATGGTGTGGTTGACTGAAAGACGTGGGAAAAAAATTGTATTGTCAACTTATGCCATATTTCTTATCATGGTTTTAAGTCGCAGATGAGGCCTTAGACATGATCGTGGTGGACACTTGATGTATTGGGTGTTACATAATGACGGTCATGGAACACACTATTATCGTGTGCTAACTCAGCCGAGGCGGAAGAGGCTTGGAAAAGTCTGATGTGATTCCAGTTCTTCTGAATACATTGGTGAGTATTAGACATAGCCAATACAAAAAGATTCGATTGTCTCTCTAAACCATGGTTCTAATGCAATTTATGATGATAAATGTATTAAATGGTATGATGATAAGCTGCATATAGTAAATGCAATTTTTCACTTCTATCATGTCAAGTAAGTAAAACTATTCAAAAGCTTTCTTTTGCTTCATTTTCCCCTTTTTACCAATTCACCCATTTGTTTATGTTATCCTCTTTCCAAAATTGGAGCCTGATTATTACACATATAATTATACTTGGAATTTTTTTTATTCAACTAGTGATATTACAAACTTGGTACTTGTGAGTTCTTAGAGGTTCATGACTGATATTACATGTATTTAGGAAAATAAAGTAATATAGTTAGGGTGAAGACTGAGGCTCACTTGAGAGAGAGAGAGAGAGAGAGAGATTGGGCAGTACTAGAGCACCTTAGACTTGATAGGGGCAGAGCCTCGCGGTTTTAGGGGGTCTTTATTTTTTTGGGTTTTCAGATGGCTTTTATGTAGTGGGATGTGCTATTTATTGCCCAAGGCAAATGAGGCAGTTTGCATTCTGACGTGATGGTCTGGTCTGGTTTGTGACTTTGTTCATTAATGCTCACCTCTCTATCATCTTGTAAGATACTTCCACGTGCAGTTGGGCTTATCTTACTGGTTAAGGACAAAGTGTGCACCAATACTAGGGTATGCTTTATAGGCTGCAGGGGCAGCTATAGGGGCACCTAAATTGTATCTGGCAAGTTCTATTTGAAGTTCCATACCAATTTAATGCGATCTCTGCATCTATTAAGGGCTCATAGTTGAGGTGGTGCTTTCGTAATTGAGACGTGGTTGAAAATAGGGTTGCCATGTCATTTGTCATATGTCATCCATTATCTCCAAAAGTTGGATAAAAGTATGGTAGGCTCCATGGGGGATTATTTTGATGCATCACTTAATGTTAGCCAAACCACATATTGTTGGTTGTGCGGTAGAGTTGTGTCATTACTGTGTTGAGGGGGTAATGCAAATCAGTTGTGCATCAGTTTACGAATCATGGTTGATTGTGTATCATGATGTAGTACGGAAAGTTCTTATTATATTGTGGCCATGTATGAGGTCCAAGCACTTGCTCGAATGAATTACTTGTGTTAAATAATAGAGATTCAATTGTCAAAGCCTATATGCGGGTATACTGACATTGGAGCTTGATACTATATTGTGACCCTTGTGTTCAAAATAGTTTTCATGTAGCCGCAGTTGTGGTGATCTCGTACGAAGCTGTGTTGAACTTTAATTTAAGACATTAGTGTTCGTAGAATAATTAGTAATCAGTGATTAATATAGTAAAACATATTTGCAAGGTCCCAATGTCAATAGTATTCATGCGTACTAGCTTGGTACTTGAAAGGCATTTTTAGTAAAATATGTATTGACGTGGCAACTTTTAGTATGTAGTTATAAAATGAATGGATGAAGATATATGAGGCTAAGGAGGGGAATATAATCCTAGATTTTACAGGATGTGTGTTGTAGTAAGTCCAGAAGAGGAGGTTGAAAGATGGTAAAATAGATGGTCTCAGTATGATGAATTTGTGAGAATGGATGGATGTGAGTTGTGCTATGCTTCAGTAAATGTATTCAGGGAAGTATCAGGATAAAGACTGTTCGAGGAATTCTTGCTAGGTGCGTAGATAGGATGTGTGTTTCCGAAGCTATATATGATCCTTGATCCAATCGAACTAAGGAAATTTTAATAGAATTTTCATAAATGTTCATGCATGTTGGGTGGGTTGGAATAGAACATGTTCTCTCGATAATTTAGAAGAAAAGATAATGGTTATATTAATGGAAGATTATTAGACAAAATTAAAAAGTGAGCTTCCCATTTTAGGAGAGAAAATATCGGATGGTGCTTGAGATAATTTAGACATGTCCAGAGTAGACCAATATACCTCCGGAACCGTTGAGTTGGTCCTTGCTAAGGATGGGTGAATTGGTAGTGAAAATTTCTGTTGGCAGCGTTAATTGTTATGAAGTTAGAGATGATATTTCCATACAAGGAATATCAATCTAACTTGCATAACAATAAGAAAAATGTTAAGCTGCTATATGGTTTGTTTGCTTGTTTGTTTGTTTATTTATTTTTATTTTTGTTGTTGCTGTGCTATCAGCTATTCAGTATGGTATGGTTCAGTTTTTTTCCCTTTTTTTTTTTTTTTTTCTCCTCCTCCCTCCCACTAGATGTGGTATCTATGCTTTTAGGAATTGGTGGACAATTTTTTATTTCAAGCCGTAGGTTTATAAGAGTAATCATGGTTTGTTTATTAGTGATGCTGAGAAGTAAGGCATGATAAAGAGAATATTGATGATTCCATTGCAGGACAGCAAATGATGTTTGGGAATTTGGTGAGGAATCATCATGTTTATTGTTCCTGAAAGAAATTTATTGCCTGGAAATTGTATAAATTGAGAATTCTATTTCATTTTATTTGTGGAATGGAGCACCAATATAATACATTTTTGTTATGGTACATTTACATTCTTTCAGAATAATTTCCTCAAAGCATTCTGGTGAAGCTAAACAAGCATAATGTGTACATCCAAAAACCATATACGGTCAGTGTTCTTGCAACCATGTAATTCTCATAGAATGAAGATGATTGAAATAAGATATTATTTTCCCTCTCTCTATCTCTCTCTCTTTATTTTTATTTATTTATTTTATCTTTTAGTTCTTTCTTCGGTTGGTTGTTGATTTCCTTATATATGGAACATAAATGCTTTGTGAAATCCAGGATATTATTATTTTATTTTTCTTTCTCTTTCAGAAATCGTCTGACAATATAGGGAGTGTCTCTAAAGTCTTGTTATTGTAATCCAACAAATTGTTTAGTTTTTCAAGGCTTTCCTTTCCTTTTATTTTTCCGTTTGTGTATTTGCGCAATACACAAGTAATTCAATGTTTTGGGTTAGTAAAAGAACTTAGCACAAAGAGTTACATGTATACAAGTGAGCTCTCCTGTCTACACTTGATGATATTTGATAAGCTTATGCTTGAAAACTGATGGAGAATATCATTATAGGAGTGATTAAAGCCCTTAAATCACTCCTTGACAGAATATTGATATGAGTGACTCATGGGAGTGATTTTAGGAATCTTTCTGATATCATATTTATCACATGTTTGTATTTTTTCACCTATAAATAGAGGTGATCATTATATACAAAAATTAAGAGAGAATATAATTAAAGTGATGTAGTCCTTAGGGTTTTGTGTGCAGTGGATGCACTATTTGGCCATAGTAGCCGAACCATGTTATATCGTTGTGTTGTTCATGTTTAAGTTCTCTCTTCAATTTTCATATTTTTCAACAAAATATATACTCCCTCCGTCCCAAATTAAACGTCCCTTTTTGGGAATCTAACTTTTTAAGAGGATGGGTTTTAATATTTTTTTATTGTATTGGTAGTGAATGAGTTACCAAATTTGTCCATAGTGGGTCACAGACTGTGATGGTTTATTTTTTATAAGTTTAATGCAAGAAGGTTAAATTGGTAATTTTACAAAAAAAAATTGTACTTTTGACTTTTCAAATGAGACATTTATTTTGGGACAGCGAAAAATGGAAAGGTGGACATTTAATTTGGGACAGAGGGAGTATATATTTTCAATTATTAATTTCCATATTTGCACTTGATGTGTTGAGGCATCCCAAAGGATGCATGATTGACTCATTGGACAATTGGATAAAACGTGTAGATTTTGACATGCTAGAAGTTAAGGTTCTTATCCAGTCCCACTTTCCTAGCACCCCCACCCTGCATTCATAAGATCGACGATGGTGGTGACCTTTTAATTATGTGAAGTGTTTTGAGCTTGGGGTATGCCATATTCTTAGCTTGATAAATTTCAGATGGAGCTACACTCGTGTTCTTTGGTTGCTGTTTTGAGTTTATACACCTAGATCTATTTCAAATTAAATTTACATTGTATAATGCAATATTTTATGTTTTGTGGTCATGTCATTTCTTATAATTGTATTGGAATTGTAAAATTTGAAGAAAGAGATTTGTATTAAGAAGTTTGAATCTCTGTTTGAGTATATGGGGAAGTTTGAAGAAAGGAAACTATGGTTGTAAGAAGATGACAACAAGAGAACTTGACAGTATTATTGCCGGCTACATGTTGGTTCTTTTACTTGACTCCTGAATCCTGATGGTTATATTCTTATTAGAGCATTTTTGAAGGCAGATGGCCATGTGCTTGCTAGATATATCTAAATCGTCTTTATTGGACCACTGTTTTTTTTTTTTTTTTTTAATTTTTATTTTATATGTTTGCACCATTGTCAAACCTCTTGTTTATCTTTTTGTTTATGAGTACATTTAATGACTGGAGTAGAAGACACAGCTTTTGAAGAGCAAGAGAAGGAAAATTGTATGAGTAGAAGCTCACATACAACTATTGTAATTGACAGCACAGAAATGGTATGTTAGAAGTTAGCCTCTTTAACTGCTTTCTCGGCTTATTTTTAGCTAATTTTTCTTTCAAAATGTTTTCATTTTATGTCTTTCTCAACTGTTGTCTGATTCAATGGCTTTTAATGTATATCCATTATTTATAAAATGCTATATTACACGGACTCTTTAAAAATGCCTGAAGTACCCATATCGGGCTAGGGTATGGGATATTTGTCCAAGACATATGTTTGGAATCTACAATAATTCAATTTTAATATATAATTGGTTCAATTTTAACATATCATTCCATTACATTATTGGTTATAGACTAAATTACAAAAAAATATGAATATTCAGCCATCTCACCGTGTCCTTAGGTTTGCAGATTTGATAAACCCGACACTTGGACACTTTTTTGTACCTGGCAAGACGTAGTAAGTCCATGTAACATAGATAAAATGGAAGATTGATAAGTTGATGTTCATAACAGTATTTTTTTAACTCAATATTCACATGTAGTATAGTCAAGGACCTTGGATCGTTGCCCTCTGTTGTATGCATTCTTTCTATTTTCTGTTGGGAACATGTGTCCAACATGTATGGTTGGACATGAATCTAGAATAACTCAAGTTTATTGTAGAATTGTACATCATCATTCTGTTACATTGTTGCTTTAAACGAGTCCAAGTATTATTTACTCTATAAAATAAGGGAGAAATGTTGTTAACATGAATATTTACCCATCTCCCTGTGTCCTTTAGGTTTGGAGATTTGATAAAATCCTATACTTAGACACATGCTAGCAACTTGCTCACGTACTCATGTCCATGTAAGATGGATAAAATGGAAGATCAATAAGTTGATGTTCATAACTATATTTTGTGTCTTCTCGCATTCTCCCTTTTTGGGTTGTGAATTATAAAACTAGAACATCTTCTAGTGAGGCCGGCTTTTAAATTTCCAATTTACGTATTGTTTTAATCTAAATTATTTCTTGAAGTTAATTTGCGTTTCATTGGTACAATTGCTGGAAATTTATGGAAGTTTAAAGCAATGATTGGATTGGCACTCATATTTTTTTCAATGAAAAGTTTTTTTTTATAAAAAATGACCCTTCATATTATTTTTATATTACCTGTGTTAGTTGGATGAATTAACTCATGTGTACCAATCACAATCAGTGTGACTTATAGTTCTTGAAGGTGTAACATATTTTCATACACTTGTTGCATTTGAATGTCATCCCAGGATCTAAATTCTATAAGGGCAAGTAAAAAAGTACCATTTCTTAACTGGATAAATAAAGATTTTTTTTTTTTTTAAGGAATCTTCTTTTAATCATTTTGGTTAATCAGCCAAATGTATTGGAAGGGCAAGGATTGAATGTGAAATGAATTTACTAGGACATTTAAAAGTTAATTCAAGAGGAAAATCGAAATTCTGTCTGGATCAAGGAGCATTTTTCAGGGCTTTACACATATCTCATTCCATCATTGTCTTCCATCAAAAGTTAATTCAAGAGGAAAATCGAAATTCTGTCTGGGTCAAGGAGCATTTGTCAGGGCTTTACACTTATCTCATTCCATCATTGTCTTCCATCAGGTCCTTCAGGAAAAAAGTTATTGTCGGAAGTTTTTAAATATGATAGCTGTTCAAGTGTGTGGGGCTCGGGAGAAAAAAACCAGATTCTCTGTTTCAGTTGCTAGCAGCTCCCTCCCCTCGTCGTTTGTCCTTGATGAGAAGGGCAGAGGAAACCAGTTTGTCTCAGAACGGGACTTTGGCTGACGGTAAGAGGGGTGATTTTTGGTGTCTACTTCTGTCCTGCATGCTTATTCTCTATCAAGTAGTTATTAAATTCATCTTGATTGATGTATGTCAATTTTGAGACATTAAGGATTAAGTGCTTTATGATCTAATAATGACCAAGCATGTTATGCTGTGTTGATTCATGTTCAGTAATTTTGCAAAAAATTAAGGCTGGGAGTGTGGGAGATATGATCCATTTCTATCAAGTGAATCTTGAGCTGCTGGTATAAAAATAACATGCAATGCGATGTCATATATTGTGCTAATACAAATAGTTAGTTCTTCCTGATGATGTTGTGGGCTCTGGATTTTCTGGTCATGTACTTCTTTTTATTGTAATGTGAAGTTCATTTATTGGTAATAAATGGTCCTTTTGTGTTGCATTTGATTTGAAACTTTATTTGCCTTCTGTAACCATATTTTCTGCCATTATCTGTTGGCAAATGGAATTGTCTTAGCATTTATGGACTCCTAGTGTGTTAAATATGTTGATTGTGAAATGCATTTACCAGTTCAAATTAAAGAAGAAAAAAAAAAAAATTATAGCTTCAAACCGGAAAGAGAAATATTTTTGTAAGTTATCTTAGAAATTTGGTTCATGCAAGGTAAAGTATAGTTCACAATTGCAGGAAAGTAAAAAATCACTGCATGTTTCCATTGTTTATAACTTACAAGAGGTTGGAAAGTGGAGAAAGATGGCTAGAACTGTTATAATCCATGTTGGTGATGAGGGCATCCAACAATTTCTGACATTGTAGAGAGATGCTTTTAGGTATTGTTTGATAAAATGACAATTTTAGGAGCATAATTTAAGTGTTATAATTTATTGTATATGAAATTTTTTTTATTTCTTATAAGGTTCCTTTGTCCAGTTGAATAATTCTCACTTAGTGTATTCAGTCATAGTGATAAGTGAAGCTCCCTTCACTTAAAATTTTGACCCTTGTTATATGGAACTTCCTTTTTTAAGTGACATTCCAATTGTGTTGTCAAAAGTGTGTGATTACAAAATCACTTGACATGTTTAGTTTTAAAAGCTGAATATTAAACAAACATCTAACTTTTTTTTAGGTGTTTAAATCTGTTCTTTCGTCAGTTGTCTGTTTGACATGTCTGGACTCTGAACAGTGAGGAAAGGTTTACGTATTTGGAATTCCAAGTGAGAGAATAGCGGTTTGAGTTTGGAGGCAGTCAATTTTTGCAGATAGTGTCATGTGTTAACTGATCTATCTATCTCAACACCCTTTGATTGAACAGTGCACTAAACAAAAGAGGTTGCTGTGTATGAAAATTTATTTTTGTGTGTGTGATTGTATTCAGGTTCTACATTCCATTTCCAGACTAAGTTTTCTAGTTGTAACTGCAAATATTCTGGAAAAACTTGTACCAACTAGATTGGAAAGGAAGAACTGCAAATTTCTTATGTTCTTTTTGCAGTTGTGAATTTTCCACCAGCCAAAATTCCCTTAGACGATCTACGAGTATATGCTCCACTCTAAGCGATGGGATGGGGCTGCTTCAGAAGCTTTGCAGTTGCTTTCTATATCTAGTTCTCCCTTTGGATGTGCAAGTGATGGAAAAGGTTAATCTATAATATACATCTATAAAAAGCGAAGTTACCATGCTTATGTACATGGTTGTCAATTAATCAATGTCAGAGTTCGACATACTCAGTCACTTGGAGAATGCATCTGCAAGTGGCATCAGCAGTATTTTTTGTACATATATGGTGGTACCAAGATTGTGAAAATTTGTATAGCCATATCATTTGGTAATGCGCATTTCATGATTTTTTTTTTTCCAATCTTTTACACTTAAAAGTTTTCACCGTGTGTTATAGGTTTTGCATATTTATTGCCTGCATACTTTCTGGTAGTTTGAGCCCTTGACAATGTATGGATATCCAATTCTATTTCAGGCAAGATCAGATGAGAGCAAAATTATTATTATCAGTATTACTATTATTTTGTAAATCCAGCAAAAAATTGACTTAACAAAAACGCTGTTGGATTGTTTTGAAAATTTGTGTTGTATGGCTAGGTTTCTTCAGAAAATTGGTTCAGTCATGTGATTGCAACTATACTTGTACATTTCTTATTTTTATTCTTGTAAGAGAACAACATGATAATACTATATTCAATGACAGTTTTTTTTCCCTCCCTCTCTCTCTCTCTCTCTCTCTCTCTCTCTCCTTTCTTTTTTTTTTTTTTTTTTGGGGTTGGGGTTGGGGTTGGGGGGGGGGGGGGGGGGGGGGGGTGGGGGGGTGTTCTGTGCGGGGAGAAACACAAAGGAAAACGTACATGTTGGGAATGCAGTGACTATGTCAGGTAGCATACTCTACTCGAGCTCAGTTTCTCAGCGTGCATTTAGGATTGATGCTATAGATTCATCAAGTGAAGCTACACTCTGTGATTATAGTAGTGAATGGATAGATATGCAATTGATTGAAATTTTCTTCTCGTTGAAAACTTGAATCATGATTTGCAAGTGTGAAACTTTTAGCGACTCGCCCTTTCCATGTCTATTGGACAGGCAAACAACCAGAAGTCCAGAAAATTTCTAATAAACACGGTATAAAAAAGATCATTGATTCTATTTACATTGCTAATTTCATATACAGAAAGCGAGAAGGAAGTGATGGGGAACAAGCAACTGCTCGATTTGGGAGAGTCTTGGCTGTGTGAGGATCTTGTTTCTTAGTTTACCTAATGTTTGTGATATTAATTCTTCTTCTTCTTCAAGATGTGCATACAGATCAATATGTGGAGGTGCCTTGCTTGCTCATGGACAGAAGTAACTTGACAAAACACTGCAGTGTATGAACAGTAAGGTATAAACACCTCTCTCCGCATACTCAGTTTGTGTGTATAAAGTCTTATGTTTCCTGTTTCTTGTGGGATATAAATGTACGCACGTCATGGGTTGTTATGTAATGCCCGAAACACTAACTTAAATAGCATACTAGAGCCTTAACCTTTTTATAATATCAGTAGCATGCTGCATAATTCACATTGCTGGATTGACGACGTTTTAAAGACAAATCAAGCAAAAACTACCATATTCAAAAGAGTAAACGACTTCCAAATCATTTGAAATCAGTACTCACAATACAGTGAGAAAACATGTGTGAGGGATGAAAAAATTCATAAGGTAAAATAAAAAATAGAATTTGGAGGAAAAGGGGAGCTTACATAGGAGAGAGTAAAATAAGGCCCTATTAAAAGAACATGAGGCTAAATTCAATGAACAACGATCTTTCAATAGTTTGCAGCAATTTAATCGAGGTTGTCTAATTATAAATATCTGTTGAGTATATAAATGTCTGAAATTCCACTGTTGTCTCTTCCTTTAATATTCCCATTGGAACAAAACAAGCTTTGTGTTTCTTTCTTTAATCGGTGAAGTGGAAGCCATGCTGCTGCTTTTAATTTTCTTCATGAATCATGACCCCAAAGGTTCTCACCAGCAACTAAGTCTACACAAAGTGATCTTGCTTACATGACTTACATGGTAGTTCTAAATTTCAATTTCGCTAACATTTCTTTATGACATACCACAAAGCATTAACTTGTGTGGTATATGGTCAGTCTTCCGATGATGGTGTATTTTAGGTTCAACATCCTCTATCGTTTAAAGAAGAATGCTTCAATTAAATTTCTCCAGAAATTCCTGTATGGCATCTGAAACAAAATCTCTTATTCACACACATAACAACAGAATTTTGTTTCCTTAGAAGTGTGTGTGTGACTGTTGGCATCATGATTGCATCAAAATTAACAAGTAGCCAAGTTTCCTTCGAGTGAATTCTGAAATCTTCAGTATTTTCCATACGATGTTTGTCTTACTCATTGCTTCCAAAATTGGAAAACAAGATTTAGAAAATTTGATCGTCCGATCTTAATATTGTTACTTCTTTATAATCATTTGTGTACTCCTTGCCTCGTTCCGTTTTTCCTTCTATGCAGTTGGTTCTCATGTGATATAAACAGAAGTTTCCTACAAAATTTCTGTCGAGTGTAATGTTGACGTAGATACGGTTTGCCTTTAGAATATGATTGATCTGTAGTAATTTTGTATTAGTAGTTGAAGCACTCAACCTCTAGGATCTATGATTTGCTAAATCATTGGCTTCAACTGTGCAGTGGACTCCCGGAGCTGGCAATATGGTGGCTGTTTGAATGAACGAAATAAAGGTTTGATTTTGCGGTTAAGAAAAAAAAATCTCACTAATTAATAACTCTCTATCGTGGAACCAGGATACTCTACTGTGTAGCTTTGAGTCCGGATCCCTTTAATGCTTTTAAATTAACAATATACACGCAACAATATTAAATCGATAACACAACAATAATGGAAATGTGAGAGCATTCTTGGTTTTATGGTGTTACAGTGACAGGTCTCGATATAATACGTTGAATGGTCGTTAAATTGTATGTTGCATTTGTCTGGCCATTTAAAGTGATCTAGATGACCCTCGGGCCGAAGTGCCACTAGAGAGTATTTGGACCTGGGCCAGGCCCAAAGTGGATGAATTTATATTTGTTTTTCATATGGTCTCTACAAACAATTGTATTTTAGATATCTTCATTTTCTTTTGGTTTTGCATATATATATTATATACAATTGAGAAAGGTTGTTGTCTTGTTGAAGATGAGAATATACACATTTAACATATTCCCACATAATATCTAAAGCACATGGAGGTCCTTGTTTGATCCTTCCCTTTCATTATGTTTTCCTCAAATCGAAGTCAATGAAATCCCCAAAGATTTCATCAACACACTATTCAATATATGGTCCCAGATGCTTTGGGCCATGAAATAGAGACAACCGTCTCTCTCTCTCTCTCTCTCTCTCTCTCTCTCTCTCTCACACACACACACACACACACACACAATCTCTCTCTCTCTCTCACACACACACAATCTCTCTCTCTCTCACACACACACACACGGGCTTGCAACTAGTTTTAGAGAGTTCAATTTTTGAGGCCACTACTTATTAGGAACAAATCAAAGTTATTCTTTAAGATATTGATTCATTGTACTTACAATTTCCTATTGTGTCCATACATATATGGCTCAAGTGCAATATTCTCGACATAATCTATGACTAAAAAACTGTGCATCTCTGGTTAATTTTAAACCGAAAACAACAGATTCCAAGCATCAAACACTTTTAAAATGGTGGTGGAAAACGAGTTCAACTTGGCAATATTTGATTCTTAATAATTTAAATTAAAAAAATAATAATTATAATTTTATATGGTATTATGATTGATGGTTAAGTGAATGACTCGTACAAGTTGGTTATATTTTGACAAAATTGGCTTACACTAACTTATGTGTAGTAGTTGACAACTGGTCCTTTTCAGGTCTAATTTCGAATTACCCTTCAGTAGACCTTCAGTAGAGTGTGACATGGGATGTAAAAAAAATTGAAAGAATTAAGACACCCCATTACATTCCTTTATTGCGACAGTGATGACGTATTTAACTTCTGGTGAAAAAGTCTCCTTGGACCACCAGTTGGGTTGTGTTTTGAAAGAAATTTCATTGTGCATTCGGATTGTTCGTTTAATATATCTATTTATGCGTGTATTACACATGCCGATAATGAACGGTTGAATGTGTCCATTGTACTGTGTAACGAGCACTTCGAACCGTTCGTATAATACATGTGCCTGTGCGTGTATTACATGTGTTGATAATGAATGATTGGATGCACCTATTACACCATATAACGGGCGCATTCGGACAGTTCGTGTAATACGTGTACCTACGCGTGTATTACACATGTCAATAATTAACAGTTGGATGTGTCCGTTGCGCCGTGTGACGAGCGCATTCAGACCGTTCGTGTAATACATGTGCCTATACGTGTATTACACAATTCGATAATGAACAGTTGGATGCACCCGTTGCACCGTGTAAGTGGCGCATTCAGAAGGTGTTAAATTACGTGGGATTTGGGTTATGAAGGGATAATTGGAAGGTATAATTAAGGATTTATTATGGGGAGGAAATAAGAGTTTTGGATCAATTAGAAGTGTTATTATCCTTAATTATCGTTATCTTGTGGGAGATAAAGGAGAAGATATATCATCATATTTTTCAACTACATGAATTTGTGTAGAAAAAAGCTTATACATTGAATAAATTTGGAAATCAATTGTAATCCAGTAGCTATATTTTCATTTTAGGACTCTTTATGATTTCTATAATTGTTATTCAATTTGGTAATCAATTGTAATCCAGTAGCTAGCTTTAGGAAGTTATTCATTTTAGGACTCTTGATGATTTCTATAAATAATTATAGAAGTATTAATTGCAAGAGTCCAACATCCTTAAAATCTTTATTTTAATGTTATTGCTTTCTTAAGCTCTCCCTCTCTAATTCTACTTTCTCGGTATAGTAATCTTGATATTTCTTCTTTCTCTACCTCTCAATCTCCTTCTCTCTATCGACTTCTATATCTATTTCTCATCCCTTTCTATTCTTAGAACCGTTAGTACTTCTATATTTATTTCCTTGCACGCCCTCATTATACAATTTCTGAATTGGCTTTAGCAAGCCGATTTTAAGGTCAATAGAAGATTCAAGTCTCTCTAAAAACATTCCAGGAGTTCATTGTCAGAAAATAAAAGATAAAAAAATCCATTGATGCATTGATACACCATGCTGGATTTTACTCCATCTTTAGAAATTTCTTTTTCTTTCGCACTTGATGCTATTTTCTTAAATGCATATTCAACACAAGTTTTCAAATTGCATATTCAACACATGTTACTTCCAAATTGCATGCCAAATAATAGGAATACAAAAAAGTCAGATGTTTTCAAATATTCCCTCAAATCTTTTAATTTATTGGAACTCCTCAAAGTCAAATGTTCCAAATTCTACTGCATACCCCATGATCAAGTGACAAATAAATTAAATAATCAGTCCCTCTAATCCAAGAATCTATTAGTCCAAATGCATTCCTGAAATTGGTGTGTGTGTATATATATATATATATATCATATGTTAATTTCCTTCTCATTTGAATATACATAATATATATTTCCAATCAAATAGGAGGTTCTGATGACCCTAATAGAGCCAAGTATTGAACACCTAGATATATTATGATATTTTTGACTGTTTATGCAAATAATATCTGGTGGATCCACTATCCTATATTGTGTGGATGAAAAGCAAATGTAATTAGGTTCAAAGTTCAAACAAGTATAGTGGAATATCATCCTATCATTTCAATTTTCATGCAGTTCATCATTTGCATATATGGTGCACAAAACAATAATGCATCAACATTTGAAAAAGTAAAAAAAGGAAAAAGAAATAAAGAAATAAAGTTCTTTAGTCATAAGATGTCACTTTGTGTCATGCATATTTCACACTTGCTTCTACAACTCCTCATTTCTAGTTGCTTAATAGTGAGTGATCATATATAGTGTGAAATTAATGATACAAAATTGACAACAATATTAATAATCCTAGAAAAAGAAGGAAAAATGAGAAATTTTTATAATGGTCCGGCGAGTCACAACTCGACATGCAAGTAAATGTATTCATTTTATTTAATTTTTTGCTTGCGTGTCGAATTTGTGAATGATTAAAAATCATGTTATTCAGAATCATTTAATAATTTCTTGAGAAAATTACTTCCCTTGCCAAACATTATAATTTTATTATTTTGCTCTTTTTTTTTTTTTGGTTTTGTTTTGTTTTGTTTTGTTTTATCAAGAAATCTCTTAGAAGAGTTTAAATTCTCTTGCATCTAAGAAGAGTTTAAATTCTCTTGCATCTAAGAAGCAAATATATAATTTGACAGTGGAAAGAGATGTTATATTCCATTTTCCTTTTCACATTCTCAACTCCTAACACATAAAGATGTTTTGATTTTAAAAAAATGAAGAAGAAGCTAGTTCAGGCTACTCAGTGCACAAGCTCTCGTCATTGCACTGTAAGTTTTGAGAAGAGTCTGATGTACGTAGTCTTGTCTTTACTCTCTTTCAAATTACAATGAAACAACTTTACCTTTGCATGTTTTTCTCTCTAACTAATAACTTTGCATGTGTCCCGAATGCCAGTGAGAAAAATTCTGTAACACATAAGATGATTTGAATTCAATAAAAAATAGAAAGAAAAGAAGCTAGCTCAGTGTAGGAGCTCCCGTCATTACAAGGTCTAAGAAGAGTCAAATATATATAGCGTTTCCTTTGCTTTCAGATTACAATAGAACAATTTTACCGTTGTAGGTTTTTCGTTCAATTAATAATTTTGCACACGTACTTTATGCGAGTGAGAAATACTTTGAGGTTAAAAAGAAGAAACACATAGAAAAAAAAGAAGAAGCTAAATGCACAGGCTCCCGTCATTGTAAGGTCTGAGAAGAGTAAGGGGTACGTAGCCTTACCTTCATTTTCAAATTATAATGAAATAACTTTACTTTTGTAGGTTTTTCTTTCAACTAATAATTTTGCGATGCGAGTGAGAAAAATTTCCGAGGTTCAAAGAAGAAACACATCATGATCAAGCCTGGAAGAAGAAGAAGCTAAATGCACAAGCTCCCGTCATTGCAAGGTATGAGACGAGTCAGATATACGTAGCCTTACCTCCGTTTTCAAATTATAACGAAGAAACTTTCTCTTTGCAGATTTTTCTTTCCACTAATAATTTTGCGAAGCAGCGACAAAAATTTCTGAGATTGAAAAGAAGAAATACATCATGATCAAGCCTGGAAGCTGGAGAGCAGCAGTAATCTCCACTGAGAGATCAAATTCACGGACCCATCACTATCATTTGCATGTTTTTCTTGCCCCTTCTAAGTTGGAGAATTGTCTCCACTTTGTGGCAGCCCACCTCAATTTGGCCTCTTTAGTCTCTGCCAAATTGGTGATAGTCAAGTTGTCTTTGCTTCTTGGGTCACTATGTGTGGTTTTACTTGGAGTGAGAATATAGTACCCCTTTGTCCAAATTGGCCTAACACTCCACAAGGCTGCCTATAATTCATGGTAGGTGCTCATGTCACTCTCAGTGTATTTTTTTCAACAGCCTATAAAATATAAGAGACGTGGGCTTGTTTGGTATTGTAAAGTGTTTTGAACAGTAATTAGAAATATGTTCGGTAACATCCATTAGTTTAAAGATTTTTTAAAGCAAAAATATAAAAACATAATATGGTATAAAAGTGTTGCAAATTTGAAAAATATAGTGGTTAGTTTAAAAATATCATTTAAGAGTTTTTTTTTTTTTTAAATATATTTACTGTCTATTGCTACAGTACCAAATGTTACAGTTCGAAAACATACAAAAATACCAAATTGGTGTTTTGATATTTGACCACTATCAAGAAACGTTTCAACATTGTGCCAAACAAAACAATTTTTATCAAATGCGGTTTTTTCAGTGTTCAGTGCTATACCAAACAAAAAAAAAAAAAAAAAATCCCAGTAATAAAATTCGTAGAGAGTAGCTCATGGTCTACTAAGCTGAAGTATAGTTCAAAAATACTCAATGATCATCTTGGTAATTGAAATGTACACTTACCAGTTGCAATATGGAAGCCATGATATCAAATTATATAAAAATTAGTTCTATTTGTACAGTACACATACAATTAATGCACTATTCCCTTTTCAAATTACTAAATTATCTTTTAAACTTTAAATATAATACTAAGTTGAAAGATTTTTGAAAATTTACAAGAATAATTATGGAAAGATGGCATTAAATTTATTGACTTTTTAAAATAGACAACTAATTTGAAACGAAACAAGAACAAGTGACAACTTTAATGAAGCAACAACAAGTGACAACTTTATACTGCAAGACTTTAAATTGTTAATGTAATAGTTTTAAATTGATAATAAAACGACATAAATGTGTTAAATACATTCTCGATTTAATAGTATTATAGTGTTGTAACACAATGTAATGTGTTGCTTAAGTAATAATAATAATGATGATAATGACGTAATCATGACGTTGATGATGACAAGGAGAGTGAGTATTGGATAAGTTTGCCAAAAAAATTAGTATATTGTAGCATTACAAGATGAGCACCTAGAAAGTGTATTAGGGAAACAGACAATTAGAACAACATTCTGCAAATTATAACCTAAAAGATAGGATCATCTTATCGAACGTAGTAGAATTGGTGGGAGTAGAGTCTTTTAAGTGCTTGATGCTTGTATTTAGTATTTGGGTGTGGTTTCGATTCCTTTTTAACTTTGTAAGTTCTTGACTTAAAATGTTATTTGTACTCTAAGGCCAGGGTGGGTAGCCGAGGAGTTTACCTAGTAGTTACAAATCTAAAAGGCGGATAGTTACAAGGTTTCCACGTCATAAAAAAAAATGTACAAAACTAAAACCACTTATTTTTTTACTATATTATAAATCTATGCCTCAGTTCAATTTTTTTCTTTTCTTTTGTCAATGGCAAGAAATTCAGACACACCACTCACATATCTCTACTTTGCTCATTTAAAAACTCAAACCCTCGACAAATTTGGGAGACAAAGGAGATATCACCAAGTCACAAAACCCTTATATTTCAGTTCAAATTTGTTCAATTGGTTTCACCTTTTTCTAATTAAATCACATATGATTAGTGCTACTTAGGCGAAAGTGTTGAAAAAAATTGTTTGACTGAGTACTTTTGATTCATGATGTATGTAAAATAAATAGATATATATAGACTATCAATAAAAAAATTTGTTCCGTTAAACAATTCACCTCAATTCATAAGCTTTAAAAGCATTTTCCATCACATATAGAAAGACAAATGCTGCATAGATGCATGAGATTTAAGATCATAATTTTGATTCGCTTATTTTACCAAACTGATTCCCAACCTAATTTAGCCAAATTGAATACCTAATCCCATCTTAATATATATATATATATATATGATGTTCTCAGTGACAAACTTAGGTAGCACGTGTATAAAATCTTAGGCATGCGTATATATAGATGTTCTCAGTGACAAACTTAGGTAGTATGTGTATAAAATCTTAGGCATGTGTTTATATATATATATATATTCAATCACAACACTTTTTGATTGACAATAAAGTCACACAGTCATTTATTCTTACTCAATTATGTTTCAGAAAGTGTATATATATCACTAGGTTATAATCTCTCGTGTGCGTGTGTGTATGTGTATATATATTTATTTATTTGTCACGATACTTTTCATTTAGAATAAATTTAACCATTCATTTGTCTTTGCCGTGATTTGAATTCTTATTGGTCACTTCTTAAAATATAAGAAACACTATTTCTAGATTATAGTCATTGATTTTGTGCAACAAATTCAAAGGTAGTGATATTAAATAGATTCGGAGTAAATTAAAGAGCTAGCTTTGTGTTATTAGTTAGATTGGACTCACATTATGATCAGAATATAAACAAGACACACACAAAATGCGAATTGATGTTTGATATGCATTTGTAGTTGGGATGGTGATATGTGGAAGAATGACTTTTTTTTGTTGGTTCTAATGCGATCAATAGCTTTATCACATACAGAAAAAAGAAAGTGCCAATCATTGGATCGCGAATGATTTCAATTGGAGAGGTTAATTTACATTCTAATCCCATAGGTGATCCAATAAATTAAAGCACATCATTAGCAAGAACCATGTGATAAACATGTCAAATTCAGAGTCTTCTTTTACTTTAGCCTATATATGTCAAACTTTTATCACTCCATTTGCGTTAATGTAGAGAAATTATTTATTACAATCATTACAATGATGACATAATATAACGGATATCTACAAACATTTTACCAAACTATATATCTGATTTTTGATTTTACTTAGTAGTATATGTTTACTTTACCTTGGTAGAGTGTTTGTAACAATCCGTTGCACTACGTTATCATTGCAACGATTGTAATAAATAATTTATCGTCAATTTGGGATATGTCAATTTATAAAAATTAAATGACACATACAAAATTGGACTAATATTTACTAGGCAAATTGCAAAAAAAAAAAAAAAAGGTGAGCAAGTGAGCACAATTTCAACACGTGGTATAAAAGTAAGCAAGTGAGTCCCTATAGTTTCAAAAGTTTATTATTATTTTTCCATGAGTTCCTATAGTGTATCCTATTACACGATATTACGATGACATTATATAATGAAATTCACCTCCACAATCACATAAATTGAATTGGATAATTAGATCTTCCAATCATTAATCTTTGGACAATTAGATTGATACAACATAATTTATAAGCTAGTAATGGGATTAGCTTAATATGATCCCTGCCAACCTGGCAACACATATAAAGTGAAAAAGAAATTCCTAATTTACTTACCAAGAAATCAATTCTTCTTAATTTAATTCCAATAGAAGATAAGGTCCAAAACACATGGACTATGTGAACCTAATATACTCATCATAATAAATGCATAAGAAAAAAATATTAAATTATAAACAAAAATCCATCATGTTTTACACGTCACCCAAGCGCGTCAAATAGTATCTTCCTCTAAGGCGTGTGTGGTGTCGACAATGATGACGCGTTGCTTTCTTTCCATTTTATCAATTGTAACACTGTGTACAGCTAAGCACTCCCAACCTCCACGCGCACACATCACATTCACACACATATATCTGTGCGTGTGTGTAATACGGAGTATATATATACACACAGACATTACACACATGTGTTCATCTTTTTCCCATCTGTAACAGACTGTCCTCTCCTTTAGCTGTGTATCCGATTTTCTCTAAATCCAGCGAAGAAACTATCAAACCATTATCGTCTCTAAATCTCCGATTCTCTTTGAATTGAAAACATTTTTGGTTTTGTACAAACAAAAGAAATTAATCGGTTGAATAATTAGGGTTTCGTTTATATATATAATATACACATAGACAAATATAGATTTTGATTTATAGATATATATTTGTTTGGATATGGGGATGAGTTTGAAGGAAGAAAGTCCGTACAAGAATGAGGAGGAGGATGTGGAGAGAGAGAGTTCGGTGGTCGTCGGAGGGTTTCCGCAACCGGTGAAGGTTGTGGTGGTTGGTTATGCTCTTACGTCCAAGAAGACTAGGAGCTTCTTGCAGCCCAAGCTTGAAGGTTTGGCTAGGTAATTTTATCACTTCTAATCAACCACAATATTCAATCGAGATTTTGAACAAAAGTGTAGTACTTCACTCTCTCATTGTTCAGCCAATATTTATACGTACAGACATTTATTCATATATATGTATATGTATATGTGTGTAGGCATACATATATCTTTATGTCAAATTATAATTTTTTTGGCTTGATTATGTCTATCATTAGTGGTAGTTTGTAGATATGAATCAAGTTTTACTTTTACGCACTTGTATTTCTTTGAGAGAATTGGAGCGTACTCTTAAGTGTTTATCATTTGTAAGATAAATTAAGTGTCATAAACTGCAGATTTGGTTTGAATTGTGTGTGGATTAGATTTCTACTCGCACTCCATGTAAGCTGTTTGCGAGTTCAGCTGCACTTTTTTTAAAATCTAATTTGAATTTCGATTTCTTCATTTCATGGGTTGAAGATTTTATTACTGGGTTTTTCTTTTTAGTTCTGTTTTTCCAATAAAATATTAGAATATTCTGGAATATCTCAATAATTATTCCAGTCCCTAAAGGTATAACTATAAGAGATGTTCTTTGCGTGTGTGTTATTATTTTGACCTCTGTTGACTTGGTAGCCAAACAGAAAACATTGAAAATGAGTGCTTTGAAGTTCAAAGTGTTATCAGTAACCCAAAATCAATTATTCTCCACTCAAGCTGTCTTGAAAGATTCTGTACCTTCAGCTGCTTTCTATATCTCCTAGTAGATTACCTTGTTTTATCTGGAATCTACTGATGCTCTGATTTTAATATAAAATTTTTTTGTAGATCAAAGCAATTTGCAAGTAGGATAAAACTTGATTGTGATTATTCTTTTTGGTTTTTCCCTGGTTAGTTAAAATATCTGTGGTTATTTGCTTTGACTAATTGTATGTTAACATACGAGTCTAATTTATTTTTGTGCTATTTATCTTGCATTTAGTTGTCATTCATAGTTCTCTTATCAATGTGTTGAGTTCCTTTAATCTGGCAATTCTAAACTCCATTTGGCAGGAGGTATGAAAAAATGGATTCTAGAGAGGGGAGTGATGGATGAGACCTAGGGAAGGGAGTTATCATTTAGGGTTACAGGTAGTATTAATGTTGTGTCAAAATAAGGTATTTTTTATATGGGTAAAACTGAGCACGGTCCCTTTATGAAAGGGGTTAAACACCATTAACATGAACTTAACCCATTTATTAAACAGGTAACACAACATGACTTGTTTAACAATTTAATTACTTTTCTTAATAACAAATTGCAAATATAGTATAATAAAATATCCAATTAAAAATTATTGAATGACTAAACTTTTTATTTTATCTCAATAGATCACACAATCAAACAATGTTTCACTATACATAGACTAATTAAAAATATACCTATTATATAGGTTCAAAAGAATCACTGCTCCGTTTATGTTGGCAAGGCAAGATTAATTAAACAGTAAAATTGGGTTAAACAGATTGAATCTCCAAACCCGAACACGGCACTATTAGTTAAACGGGTCAATTGGGGGTGCCACAATTATAAACAAAGATGATTAAGGTCTAACCAAACCTACTAATGTCGCATTGAGTTAAAATTCGTTGACGGGTCGTGTCAAACTTGGTCATTTATGGTATTTATCCCTCCTTTGAAGAAAGGGATGCAATGGTATTTTATCAATATACCCATATATATATATATAAACTAATACATTTAAATGAGGGTAAGAATGTCTTTTCATTTTTATCTAACAAATTTCTATTTTCCTCTTTCCTCTTTCTCCACTTTTGGATGAAAGAAAATTGGTGGGCGCAGAAGGATGCCTCATTCCTCTTCTCTTCCTCTCTTCTACCAAATAGTGGAAGCGTGCTCCATCTGTCCTCTCTTCCCTCCCTCTTAACAATTTAGAATAAGTTTTTTTTTCTTAGTTGGTACTCACACACACATGCCTCCACCGAGGCTCGAACCCTTGACCTTCCTTTGGGAAGTAGGAGCCTAGTACCGCTAGGCCACTGGCCCGTTGGTACAATTTAGAATAAGTGTGTGTTTACTAATCACAATGTTGAATTACTTGTTCGTGTCATGCCCACTGCTTTGAGACGTGACTTAAATGAGTATTTTAGTTTATATTACATAATTGGTTGATTGTAATATTTTGTTGTTTCACGATCACAAAAGTTAGTTCAATGTGAAAGTTGTTGTTCTTTAGTTATGTTTAAATGTCCATGATATCTGTCTACCTGCTGGCCCAATTGATACTTTATATATCATATCTCAGTTTACTACTGTAAGTGGAGTTGCCAGTTTGCCCCTTTCAAATTAGTAGGATTGTCATAGAAGATTGGCCATTAATGAGCGTGAAAATTGAAATAGCAACATTTCATGAAATGTTGATGCTACCACCAAGCATGGGGCTATATTTATTTTGTTTTTGTTTTCTAGATTTTAAAATACGCATTAGGGAAATTGGCGCCTGTCAAATTTTATCAGCTACTTTAGTACAGCCATAATTATTTTGCATTTTATTTCATTAATATCTTAACTGGATTCCTCTTCGATTCTGATCGTGTTATGTAACTAATTTTATCGATGGTTGTATGCATTTCAGGAATAAGGGAATATTGTTTGTTGCTATTGACCAACATAGGCCCCTTTCAGATCAAGGTCCTTTTGACATTGTTCTGCACAAGGTTAGTGGAATTCTCATATCTCTCTCTCTCTCTCTCTCTCTCTCTCTCTCTCTCGTGTGTTGTGTCAGTTGCAAACACACGTGCTAGTGAATGTGATGACATGCGCATGCACGTGTACGTTCTCCGGTAATTTAGTCAATATATCATCATGCACCTTCTGCATCTGTATGTTAAAGCTATTAATAGATATGAATGGCCTGGTTATCACTACCTCACAAATTTATTTTCCTGTCAATTCTTTTAATGCAGTTAACAGGAAAGGAATGGCGGCAGATTCTTGAGGTTGGTCCATTTGAACATCAATATATGTTGAAGTGTATTTTCTTGTTAGTATACTGGAAAGTTAACCTGATATTAGTTATTTTAAGATCCGGTGTGCCTGGTATAAAGTCCTTGCTACTGTTCTTGATCTAAGTTTTGGAAGTATCCCTCCTCATTTTCTCCATTTTAGCTTGCAATTTACGATATCATGTTGATAGTCCATTGGTGGAGATTTTGCAGGGGAAAATTGTGTGCATTATAACTTAGTTATGTCATTGATGTAATTTTAAAGTGCTAGTGGAATCATTACCATAATTGTAAAGATCAATAACACCTCAACGCTTTATTTTTTGATGTAGAATATCTACTACGTATTTATTAAATAAAAAAGAGATCTAATTGTTTTTCCCGATTTGGTTAAGTAGAATGAAAATGCTTGTCCCTTAATTCTAGAGTAGTAAACATGCATGAGAGTAGTAGTATATAATGATTTTGGTCCTAGTTTTAAATTTTGGTGGCAACTGTCTTGGACAAAAGTGGAATCCTAGATTTTATTACATTGTCCTTTAAATGATAATCATATTAGTGAAACCGGGGAACATTCTTCATTTGCTTCATTTTGTCTACAGGTGTATTAATTTTGTTCCCTTTATTTGATTATTACTAGCTGTTAACTGGATTAAATTTCACTTTAACATTTCATCGAAATGATTCAGAATCTTGATGTTTTATACAAGGATATGCATACAATAATGTTGTCCCTTCTTACCCTCCTCTGCCAATATGTGAAGGATTACAGGCTAACACATCCAGAAGTCACAGTCCTTGATCCGCCAGATGCAATACAGCATGTACACAATCGTCAGTCCATGCTTCAGGATGTTGCTGATCTGAATTTGTCTGATCCCTATGGTAATTTCTTTACTATATTCTTCGGGAATAGGGTCTGTGGAGAATAGATGTTTGCTTTAAATTTACACACAGAGCTTTTAATTCTTGACGTGAGGTTGATGTATGATAAGAGTCACAATTTAAGTAGTTTGCCTCTCAATGTTGTTCTGTGATTCTGAACAGAATTAATGGGCATGATAAAAAATGTGCAGGCAAAGTTTGTGTTCCAAAGCAATTGGTTATTACAAAAGATCCATCATCTATCCCTGATGCAGTTAACAAAGCTGGGCTATTGCTACCTCTTGGTATGTTTATGTGTGAGTGTGTGTGTGTATTTTTTTTGGGAGCTTCTTAGTATAACTTGCTGATTGCATTCTAGAGATAGGTTCCTGGCTTTGCTTCAACCTTGCTAGCCCTTCATTACAAAGTATAAGGTTGTTACTGTTTATAGATTTAGATGTAAGCAACACGTTGTTCGAGTTCCCCTATTTATACTTTTTGTTTATTATGCTTTGGGTGACTGACAACCTATATAAAGCGTCTTTATGTCTGAAGCACTGATACATCTAGAAGGGGGAAGTATTCGTATCATTTATGTGTCGAATACCGACTCTTCGGATACTCGTGGAAACATGTCTAGAACTTCCTAAACGTATTTAAATTTGAAAAATCATTTTTCCCCAACACGTATTCAAAACTTTCTAGATACTAAAACTTATCAACTTTCTAGATACTAAAACCATGTATCCTGTACTACTCATATATTTCACAACATATATTTAACTAGCCTTCAACATTAAAATATAACCTTTTCAATTATAATATCGTAGTATAATCGTGACTTTTTTATTCCAATATTAATACATGTAATATAACTCTCAACTTGCTTGTCATAGTCTTTTTTGAAGGAAATATTAGTGACAATATATATCATGGCAAATAATTATTATGTTAATTTTATACCTAAACATTGAAAGCATTGAATTATACATAGACATATATATTTGTTAATTTTTATACATACATTATTACAATATATATATTAATGCTTCCTTGCCATATCCGTGTTCTAGTTTTTAGAAATTTGTCGTATTGCTGTATCCATATCATGTTGTTTCCTTATCCTGTGTCAGTGTCCGCGATTCATAGGTCATTGTCAGTGTAGAAAATATAGGGGCTTCTATTTTTATTTTTTTTTGCAATTTTTTCATTATTGAAATTGATATTTCTATTTGTTCCAGTTGCAAAGCCTCTGGTTGTTGATGGAAGTGCCAAGTCCCATGAACTTTCACTGGCTTTTGATCAATTCTCCCTCAAGAAACTCGAACCTCCACTTGTTCTACAGGAGTTCGTTAACCATGGTATGCAACTTTATTTCATGTACTATCTAATACCTTTATTATTGTGAAAAATGAATGAATAACCACGGAAGCACCCATTTGTTGATTTTAGGAGGTGTTCTCTTCAAGGTTTATATTATTGGGGAAGCTATTAAGGTTGTCAGGCGATTCTCTTTGCCTGATTTTTGTGAACGGGAGCTGGCCAAAAGTGTTGGAGTATTTCAATTTCCAAGGGTATCTTGCGCTGCAGCATCTGCTGATGATGCAGATCTTGACCCAAGAGTTGCAGGTGAGGTCATTCATTCCCTCTGAAAAAAACTGAATTTCTTTATCTATGCTATTGTGAGAAGGGTTTGCAATTGGTGGGAGTGGTCTCCAGGTCTAAAGCCTATATGCCACCTGCACTGCCTTCTTTAGGGTTTTATTAGAGGGCTTCTTTGTTATGCTACATGGTGAAGGAACCAATATTGAGTTAGTGATGTTTACCTACTTTAAGTTTTTTTAAAATTTGTGTCTTGTCATGGCTTTAGATCTTCTCTGAGATTTATCAATTATTTCTTTTTACCTGCAGAGCTTCCTCCACGACCTTTACTCGAAAGACTTGCCAGGGAACTTCGTCGTCGACTGGTATTTTTCGATACTTTACCCTCTGATTTTGTAGCAGTATTCACTCTAACAATGCCAGAGTTATATGAATATAGTATGTTTTTATTTGTCTTCTTGATACTTACCTAATTATCATTATGTTCTACCTGTAGGGCCTTCGGCTGTTCAACTTAGATATTATTAGAGAACATGGGACCAGAGACCGATTTTACGTCATTGATATCAACTATTTCCCTGGTAAGTGAATATCGTTGGTTTTTTTCTCGCAATTGGATGTTATCTTTGGTCTAATTAGTTTTCCAACTTTATCGTGTTATCTGTATTTTTTTTTTCCCCCTGAAAAAGATTAAAATCTTTTTAAAAACTTGGACTTGAGGAATGCAAGCCTTTATAACAGGATTTTTTTTTTTTTTTCTTTCCAAAACTTGATTTTCGTTGTAAATCTTTGAAGGCATAAGGCGTTTATAGTTCTCAGATTGGTATTTAATACAATGCAGGTTATGGGAAAATGCCAGAGTATGAGCACATATTTACAGACTTCCTGTTGGGCCTGGCACAAAGCAAGTACAAGAAACGCATTGCTGGTACCTATTGAAGAGTGCGAGAGAATAAATTGGCACACCAAATTACAAATGTCATATCACCCCAGCAAAGTATGTGCAGGAAAAAGAAAATCTCACGCACATTTGATTTTACAATCGTGTGATTCCTGCTATCACTCCTACCGGCTGTTGATGCTCGTTCGTGTGGTGTAAGCGTCTCTTATTTCTGGTCGGGTGGAAGGATATGGCTTCTCCAGAAGCAGCCATTTTGTAAACAGTTCTGGTTAATAACTTTGGTTCCTCATTTTGTTTTGAATTCTTTGTTTATTCATTTCTTTTTTTGTAGCCAACTTCCAATTTTGTGCTCTAACTAGGTCATGCAAGTAGCTGGTGTATTCACATAGGCCAAAGCTGTAGACATTTCACTTGGAGTGGGCTAAATGTAAACAACTTGTACATTCTTTAATGCCAAGCACCTTGTGCAATATATGTCAATCTGGAGGTTCAGCTCTGCTTTATCACCGGTTTATTATCGAAAGATTTGGCTTTTTTTATTTAAACATAATTGTATTTAATAATTGTGCTTGTTGAATTTAGAAAATATACCGGGTGGAATGGCACTTGATGTGTTCAGGTTGTGATGGGCAACCATTTCCTTCAATGGGTCAAGTGTTTTAACTATGGATTTCTTCTCTTATTATTTCTTTATTATTTATTTTATTCTTTAATATTTTTTGTAAGCTCCCCCGTAGGGAGGTGCTCCACATATGCCTAGGGATGCACACGGCACCGTTTGATTCAGTACTATTTTTGGCAGAATTGTTCCAATGGTTCCTAGAAAATGATACGGGAACTGAAACCGTTGGGATATGGTGTCACAACCGGTATTGTTCGTCTCGGTTAAAATATTTTTTGTTGACTAAAATTAGGGGTGGCAAACAAGCGAATTGAGTCGGGTTTGGACAGGGTTGAATATGGGCGAGTTAAATATGGGTTGTGTGAAAATGGGTCGAGTTAACCCGTCATGACTCATAACCCCGTTTAAATATGAGTTGTGTGAAAATGGGTCGAGTTAACCTGTCATGACTCATCACCCCGTTTTAGGAAGGAAAAAAACAAAGAAAGAGATTATTTTGGATAATCTCATTATTATAATTTTTTTTTTATTTTTTATTTTTTATTTTATTTTAGATGGATAAAAACTTACAAAAATATGTATGGATAATTGGAAATCCTCTAATTTATTTTGAAAATTCATTAAATTTATATTATTTTATTTTGTGACTAGACATGTATGAAGGTAAGATATTTTATATATCTATATATATTATATGAAATAATCTGTTAAACATTTTGAAATACAGATGCAAACGTAGGTTTCTTTTGAACCGTAGTATTACATACACGAGGAGTCCATAATCTTAAAGACAAAATTTTATAGAGATAGTGAGAGAGAGAGAGAGAGAATTTGGGATTGTGTAAGAGAATTTTAGAAAGAAAGGTGAATTTGAGTCAAATAGAGATTGTGAAAATATCCCTTACATAATGGGTGAAATTTGGGTCAAATGAGTGACCTGTATTCAACCTATTTAACTCCTCTATAAAAATGGGTTGAATATGGGTCACCCATTTTGACTCATATTTAAAATGATTCACCCATATCTATTTTAAAGTGGGTGGATATGGACGGGTTAGAGTATCTCCAATAGCCTCTCAAACGGGCTCTCAAACTCAAAATATAGCAGGTGGATGAAAATAAAACACTTCAATGGTCTCTCAAAAGACCTCTCATATTTTGAGATTATCAAATATATTCTCAAAAATAACCGCTCTCAAATGGTCTCTCAAACTCAAAACATAGCAAATGGATGAAAATAAGTACTCCAATGGGTTCTCTCAAAAGGCATCATATTTTGAAATTGTCAAAAGTTACTAAAATGACAATAAGACACTCCAATGGACTCTCGAAACATGGAATGATTGTTGTGTTAAAAAGTCACATTTTAGATAAAATGCACCATTGAAGCAGAATTACAAAAATATAATATTTTGACACTGTAGCACCTCTCAAAATATAAATTTGACATAGAAACATAGCATTTTGCATTAAAAATGCTCTTAGTGGGTCATGAACCATTTTGCCACCCCTATTGTCATGGGACAAGGTTGTTTTGATGGTAGATTAGTACTGTATCAATCTGGGCATTACTAATAATTCGCTTGTCACTGTTTATACAATTATATTATATACTTTGAGTAATTGTCATGTTCTTATTAATTAATTACGGATGTATGTTTAATAAAAAATAAATAAAAAAAATCACTTGCACGGCCCAACTAATTATATTAGTAATTATATAATTAAAAGAATAATATATATATATATATATATATATATATATATTATCGGTTCGGTTCAAAGGGTCTGGAACTCCCTACCAAAACTTTTTTGGAGCCAGAATCGGACCGGTGAGGAACCAGAACCGAGGCACTGGCTCGGTTCTCCAGTTCTATTAATTCTTTTTGCAACCCTGCATGTGCACACGCTATCGTTCATTGAAGATTCTGCTGGCATTGTAATGATACACGTGGAGAGGTGGATTTTAGGGTCTTTCGTACTTGTATAGAGTAGTCTAGCAAATTAGAAAGCTTGCAGAAATTTTGTATATTAGGAAATATTTTAGAAAAGTGGAGAGTTTTATAAAGACTGTATATGGGTGGAAAGATGTAGAAAAGTTTTAGTATTCATAGTATCCAGATGCCTATATAACAAGTAGATACCTCATTTGTAAGCAAATGGCTTCTAAAGGTGAGTGTAGAGCTAGGAATGATGGTGAGTACAGAGCTTGGAGGAGGAGCAGGGGGTGTAGACTTGCTGTGGTTACAAAAAGGTTCGTCAGTTAGGAGTGTGACAAAAATTTTAACTGTGACAAAAATTTGTAACTATAAAGAAAGAAGAAGTGATGAACAAGAGACAATATTGATGATCCAGAAACTAGATGGAGATACTCCATATTACTTTAAAAAATATTAGAAAATTTGTTTTATCTAAATTCTAAGACTAGTACTAATATAGAATTAGTAACACTGGACAATAAAAAATAAATAATATAGAATTATTGAGAAACTAACCCCTGTATAATAAAAAATAAAAAAAAAAATTTGTTACCAAATCTAGTTTGAATTAAGTTAGAATTTTAAACTTTTAAAACTACGTTATGAATAAGGTTGAATAATTTAGGTAATTTTTTTTAATTAGACAATTTTGTCCTTTTAATTTTTTATAAAAACAATTATACAACTTCCTTAATAAGGTTGGTATTATCAAATATGGTGACTTCATATTAAATAATATTATTGTAAAATTAGCCAGGCCATGAATAAAATTAGCATCATAAGCATTTTCCGAGTTTTCATATGATTGAGAGCAACTATAAATTTTTAAAAATAAAATAATAATAAAAAATCGGGCATTAGGACCCGCTAATGACCCGCACCAAACAAGTCATTAATGAATTAATGGTTCATCCTTAAATTTATGACCAGCCTAAACTTGCCCGTTTGTCACCCCTATTTAATATGGAATTTTTTTGGGAAAGTAAATTCAAAGAACCCCCTTGACTTGTAGCCCTTTTCAATAAATTTACCTTATCTAATTTTTTATCAAAGAATCTCCCTCAACTATCTAAAGGGTAAAAGAGTTGATATTTGGACAAAAATACTCTTTTATTTAAATTTTAATTTTATCGAACTTCAAAAATTCATATCTCACACACCGTACATCCAAATATTGCAAATAATATATGCACGGAAAGCTTATAAAATAAAGATTTTAGAAATATAACATTTGTTTAACAAAATTTCATAACCAAAGAGAAATAGACAATTTAAAAATCTACTGCAACAATCTTATTTTATTTTATTTTTTATAAAATACTCGGGTTGTTTGCAAGAAAATTTTCAGAATTATTTATTTTCATATGGAGCATAACATATTAAAAAATTAGCCCCAATAGAGACCAAATATTCATTTTTATTTATTTTTTAAATGGTGAGTTTATAAAAGAATGAAAATATTTTGGCACAAAATATGATATCTCATGTCATCGATCTCTGTTGAGGCTAAAGTTTTTATATATTCGGCTCCATATGTAAATGAATAATTCTGAAAAATAAAATTCTTGGAGTAGATACAAATCTTATATTTCTGAAATTTTTATTTCATAAGCTTTCCGTGAATATATTATTTACAATTTTTAAATGTACGATTTGTGATATATGAATTTTTGAAGTTCAGGAGAATTGAGATTTAAATAAAAAGGCATTTTGGTCTAAATATTAATTTATTTACCCCTTTAGATTGTTGAGGTGATTCTTTGATAAAAAATTAGATAAGAGGAATTTATTAAAAAACAGGCTACAAGTCGGTTCTTTGGTAAAAAAATAGGTAAGATTTATCGTGGATTGATAAAAATTAGATTACAGTACGAAGCAAAAACAGAGAACAGAGCAAGACAATGAAGAAGAACAAATAAAAAATTTAGCAAAAAAATTAAGTGAATTTAAAATCAATATATAACTAGCAAAAGAATGAAAAACACAACACACACATATCTAATATAAAAAATATTTAAAGTGAAATGACTTAAAAACCCTTTACATAAAATTCCTCTCTCTAATCCCTCGTCTTTTTCTCTCCTTGCCGCCGTCTACCGCCTCCACTTCCAATTTCCATCACTGCCACCTCCACCACTCTCTCCTCTCCCCTTCACAGATCTTCATCAGAGAAGACTATCAATTATGTCCTAAATCAAATAATTTTTTTTTGATTGAATGAAAACAATTCACAGAAAAGGATAATCGATGGATGAGAATGTGAGTAATTACATGATTTGACGAGTATGAAGGAATTGGCAGCTTTTTTGAATAAATCAGTGGCATCTTCGTACTTGGGAATCGAAGAGACCCTGTATGTAATATGTGTATTATACTTACATATGATCTATATGGTTACACTTCTTGCCTTGAAATATATATATATATATATGTATATATATGCTTATATACAATTAGCGACGTGCTCGATTTTAAGGGGTTCATTTATTTTTCTTTAATTAATTCCTTAAATACTTGGGTTTGGTTTGTTATTGAGAAAATAGTTTTCAGAATTCAGAAGACAATAAAATATATTTTTCTAAAAATATTTATTTTTTAAATAATAGTTTTCAGAAATTATTAATAAAATAATATTTTATAAAATTTCTTGGTTTTCGGTTATTAGATCTATTTTCTTTTTTCTTAGACTCTTTTTGGTTTGATAGAAATTAATAATAAAATATAAAAGTGAAAGAGAGTGAAATGAATGAAAAAGAAATAAAATTTTCATCATTTATTTGTTTAATCAGAAAGTTTTTCAAAAAAGACTATAAAAAATTACTATTTTATGATTTGAATAGTACGAAATTTATCATAAAAGGGGTTCTATTGCAAGTTCATAAATTTTTTTCAAGAAATCAATCTTTTTTTTTTTTTTTTTTTTTTTTTTTTTTTTTTTTTTTTTTGGTAGGAAAATTTAATGAGAAATTTAAATAGTTATGTAAAATTATTTTTCCTAAAAATTAAGCAAACTTTTAAAGTGTTCAAATTTTTTTTTTTTCCTTTTATTTTCTTACAATTTCCATCTAACAAAAGAGCCTTACTGTTTAGAAATTTTATAGCTTGGAAGTTCCATTTATCTAACTTCAGGTCGTTAGATTAAGACTGCGAGATACTTTTGATTAATGGGTCTTTTTTATTTTATTTTTCATGGCGTTGGTCCTCTTGTAATATTCAAGGGGCATTTTTGTAATAAAAATGACACTTCTTGTAATTTGTTGTATTATAAGGTTATCAACGTCTTTGTAATTAGACATTATCCAGTAGTAATCCAGTTGGTAAAGCTTTTTGATGTGCTAAAAGAGAAGGCAAAATTGTTGTCCCTCTTTGAAATTTTAACTTACGAGGAAAATAACATTTAATGCATTGTTCCTATAAATTATAAAATTACCCACTTAAAGTAAACTTATGAAGTAATAAAAAAATTAAGGATATTCAATTGGGAACTAATTTTGAGACATAAAAAAAGATGGGGTCAATTAAATGTACATCCTATATGGTTTGTCATTAGTGGGACATTTCTTATGTTTTGAAAAATTACTCGGCCTTTTCTATAAAGAAAACTAACTTATACGGACGTGACGGACCTCCCTTCTCAGTGACGAATTGTCAAATGCGCTAACCAACCTATTTAATTTATTGAAATGCCCTCACATTATTATCATAAATTAGTAAACTACCCATATGCTTATATATATATATTTGGATTTCCATGTCTTTTTCTTTCTATCCTCTCTCTCTCACTGATATCTCTCAGCCGGTCCATTTTTAGGGCATTCTGTTGTAGTATCAGCTTTATATTTGTTCGGAGAGAGAAGTGATCGGTGGCATAGTTGTTAAAATTTTGATTTCGATCTCATGTAAAATTTTGAGAAGTAAAATCTCATTAGGATCTATGGAATCGGGAGTTGGATCGTAAAATTTTATAGAATCTTACAATCTTACCGATTACACTAAAACGTGTTATTTTGTTCTTCTTCCAAATTTATTTGGCCTACAATTAATTTTGGACTAATAAATTTAATAATTTAAAATATAAAGTCCAACTCTTTAGTCTAATTACATTAAAAATAAAAAATAAAAAATAAAAAATAAAGAAACGAATGTAAAATGTAGAGACGATCTCTGAATTTCAAAAGTACCGTTTAAAATTTTCAAAATTTCCTCTAATTTTTTTTTTTATTTAAAATTCTTCTTAATTTCTCTTTTCTTCTTTCTTTTTTAAGTACAATGAATATAAATAATTCTATTTTTCCACTTATTCTTTATCAATTTTGAAACAAAAATAAAGAAAGACTTCATTTTTTTTTTCCGTTGTTCTTGCTATCTCTATTTTATTCTTTTTTTTTTATTAATAAAAAGTAAACTTTTAACTAAATTGCTCAAACAATTAGGCAAATAAATTGTACTTTTCTCTTTATCATAGGATTTACTTTAATTTATTCTTTATATTTTTGCATGATTGTTATGCTGATTTTTTGTTCAAATCAAGAAATTGATATTTAATATTTGTCACGTGTTTTAGTACTTTTAATGTTAATTAATTTTGTTGGAGTGTCTGAATTGATTATTTAGTCTTATTCTCTATTTATATTGAAAATGTTTGATTTAAAAAGTTAGTTTGAATTATTTTTCTAATAGTTTCATAAAATTTTACAATTCTTGATCCGATACTAAAATTCTGATCCTATGAATCCCTTATTGATTTAACGTAGAATTCTGATTCTAACAATCTTAATCAGTGATGTTTGTAAGTTGGTTTTATTTTTAGAAGATGTACAATAATTCATATTGGGGGAGAATAAAACACTAGAAATTGAATAATCAAAAGAATGAAAACTAGTAAATACATGGACCCAAAATCAGAAATGGGTGGTGGGCCTTTCCCTGTTGTGTTTATCTCTTCGAGGAGTCATTTTTCTGATGCATAAATAAAAATCTTGTAAGATACGAAACCAGAATTGCCCCTGACATGACCATGGTTGATAATTGTACCACCAGACACTCATACCCCTACATACATACATACATATATATATATATATATATATCATTAAAAATACACCCCCAACCATGTCGTCACATTCCCATCACATTAATCCCACAGAAAACGATGAAACATAAAACAAACACTCCCATGCTCTGCTCTCTGTTTCAACTTCTTGTCAAACTTTTCCTTGAAAAGATAAATTCTTAGTTTGTTACCCCTCACAATCTCTCATTTGTATTTGATAAAAAAAAAAAAGAAAAAGAAAAAATTGAATGGGATATGACTTAATTAATTTAGATGGTGTTTAGCCAATTAAAAGCTTTTAATCATACAAATTAAATATCACTTAAAAATTAAAATAAATTACACTGATCTCTTAAAATTTGAACAAGTAATGATATGATTTTCATACAAGAAAAAGGGTAAACTTATTATTAAAAAGATTATTTAATAAATTCGTCAGTAAAAAAGTGTTAAAAGAGGCATTGTTAAGCATCCGCCCCAAATATCAAGAAAGATCAAAACAAAAAACACTGGAGGATTTATCTGTGTAATTTTTTCAAACTTAAAAAAAACAGACGTTAATATAAAATTTTCAATTTTATCATACAACAACAACTTAGTTTATAAACAAAATTATATATGCTACAAACTACTTTGATAGCTAGACTAAAAGAGAAGAAGGGTGTGAATGATACAGAGAATAATATATTCACTGAATTACATTGAAGCCACATGTACACACACACACACATATATATATATGATATGATATATTGACAGTTGAAAATGCTGATTTACTGTGGGAATTAAAGGACTACTTTTTGTCCATTTCAATCATCTAAGGATTGAAAAGTAGTTCTCCACATTTACACTTCCAACACATGGGCTTGTAGTTGGAGATATAATCACCTCTTGCATATTCAATGGTTGGGACTGTAGCGACCAAATGGAGACCATTACTCATAATCATCATGTTGTGGCCATTGAATTGGGGAACAACAGGGACTTGAATTGCCTCACAGTGACCACAAGAACTGCACTTCCTCTCACATCTTGGAGGACTTGACCCTATCAAACTTCTCATCACCACCACTCTCTCTTCCCTACCCATCTGTACATATACATACACACACACACACACACACACACACACACACACACACACACATATATATATAGATATTAACAACATATGTAAGTATGTCACATAGAAAAATGATACTCTGTCAAACAAGATTTAGAATTAAATAATACTGTCTCTCTTACCTGGTGAGACTCAACCAGCTTGGAAATTGTTCTACCTACAATTAGTACACACACTTCAATTAATTGGTATATACGTGAAACAGAAATTCAAAGCTATTTAATTTGTTTAAACTTTTGAGAGTGATCAGAGAGTTACCTTCGGCCATGAATCTGACAAGGGTCAAGCTTGAAACCAAGAGAAACAGCAAAGAAATTATTAGATGTCTTCTTCTTTGGCAACATATGCAGGTATGAAGACAGCCCATTTGAAATTTGATAGAGAAACAGAGGACCTTGGAGCTAGTTAGTAAATGTGTGTGTGTGTCACTGTGTGTATGTGTGTGTGAGAGAGAGAGAATAAAATCTTGAAAGTGAGCAAGGCTGCAAGCTGGAAGAGGGTTCAGTCTATAAGGCTCAAGAGATCATCACTATATATATATATATATATATCTGAAATATGAATGAATCTGAATATTTCTGTTTGAGTGATAGGAACTTGGGAAAGGCTAAATGAGTGCTGCAAAGGATTTGAAGAAAGAAACTTTAAGGATGTCTTTAATGGGAAAATACGTCATCCTCGTTTTCTGAGCCTAAAAAAGCAAGTGTTTATAGCCCTGGTTTTAAGTGACTGAAAACACAAGGAAAATAAACAGAACATGTAAAATACACAAACAGTTAGAGACTTGACATTAGATGATATTAAATGGCCTTCACCACAATATGTCACTGCCTCACGAAGTTTGGTTTTCACTCACTTTGTCCCCCTCATTTGTGTATATGTATTCCCTACTCTGGTTGGGGGCCTGTGCATTTCTTTTTAATTTTGGCATGTAATTATATACATACATACATATATATGTGTGTGTGTGTGGATGGTGATTGCCACAGAGGACGCCACAGGTTCGGTCAGTACCGAGTGAACCATATTGGGATGTTGGGCCCCATCTGACATTACTCTGGAAACCCTAAAAGTCTCGAGATGCTAAGGCTGTATGTATGAGCACTGAGCGCACAAGAGGAGGGGATCACTATCCTTCACTCTCCTGTCATGGAGGTGCCCCGCTCCAGTCGAATGGGTCCTGTCATAACCTGGAGGTCCCTCATTTCCCGCAGTATTCGAGAAAGGGGCCCAAGGGTCATTCGGTATAACTATTCCCCTTGAGCCACCCGTCATGGGAAAACTCGAGGAACATGGGAACTAAGGGAGCGCGAGGTTAAAGAAGGCAAAAACTTGGAGCCCCTCCCCTTTCTCCCTGAGGTATGGGAATCTGAGAGATAGTGGACGGGAGGTAGAAGTTGACCCCCCCAACCCCCCGTTCTTGTCTCGAGGCCCATATCAAGGTGAGAGGATGCTTAGTACTTGCAAACAAAGCTCGGTAAAGTAGAAGTCGACCGGTGCATTAAATGCGCTGAAAGGAATTGTAGGACAAAATCATCATTACTCTTTCTAAATGGAGGCGTAGATTGCCTCGGGCCACTTCCTGACGTCCCACCAGTCAGGAGGAGGTCTCTTTAGCTCACTGGAGAAAGTGAGGTTACTCTCGGGATCGGAATTAAGGACAAGAGACCAAGAATCATAAATAACTACTACCGAACCTTGAACTAGTTAAAGGTATTGAGCAACTGCTTTCCTTCTCTCAACCTTCGATTACGAAGGGTTCCTGGTCTAGCTTGAATTTTCACTTAGACACTAATTTGGATTTTTCAAATCTACATGGAACGCCTTCATCACCCAACACTATGAACAATATATATATATATATATATATATAATTGAATACTCACACATAATCACAAATGCTTAAGTTCGAACCCTCATAATTTCTCTGCTGTAGAAGAGATTCTTAAAAATGTCCTATATTAAATCATAGAGTTACATAACTCCATATAACATACCTATCTGTTGCAACGTTATAATATCATTAAAATCAATAATTCAACACTTTATGTATTTGTTACTGTTACGTCTTTCATTTAAACTTATTGCATTACTGAAATAAAAAAGAAAAAGAAAGAAAGAAATTGTTACACCGGACAATAAGAGGAGGAGATGATCCTTCAAACACTAGTGGTTTGTGTACATATAGTATATGAGAGTGTAGGTACCTATATTTTAGGGTTAGGGCACTAGGGCAGTTGCTTTTGATTTGGGTAATTCGAGCAGTTCCAGTTTAACACGCCAACATCTCTTTCCATCAACAGTGTATCCATATATATATATATATATATATATTCCAATAAAGAATATATTTGAGAGCAGTTTTGTACTTGTGGATGACAAGCTATTAAAAAAGAGTGTAGTTAACCGTGTGGAAACTGCATCTTCCTGAATTTGATGATGGTAAGTACATTTTTAATGACAAAATCAGGGGAAGGTTGTGAATGGAAGCAGCAACACAATCCACAAAATCTCAACGATGTGTTTGGAAACAAAAACATGTTTTTGTTGTGCTGTAATTTATTTCGAGATAAAATAATGTTTGGTAAAATTTATTGCACAAGGATACTCTCAGAAGTTGTCCATACATTATTGATTCAGCCAGCCCTCCCACAGATCTATTTACTCCTCCTGGTGGGCAGGCAGTGTAACACACACTCTCTCTCTCTCTCTCACACACACACCCACACACACACACACACACACTCAACATGCTGAAGTTGATCACTAACTAGATCTCCTCATTATTTCTCAAGCCTTCTTTTACATTTTCATATTTAGAAGGAATAATTTACATAATTTGATGGTACAAGATGCACAATTTTTATTTATTAATTGTTACTATAACACACGTAAGTCCACCAAAGTTCAAATCCTTGACCTCTTTTTGGGAAGTAAGAGCCTGACACCGCTAGACTATTGGCTTATTGGTGTACAAAGATACACAATTATGGACTTCTACAAGAGAAAATTGTCGATCACGTGTTGTATCACATCGGCTCCATCAGAATTGATGCAGTAGGTTTTTACCTGAACACACATAACAAAAGAACATGTCACTACCATTCATTTATTTGTAACATTCATCATGCAACACCAGCACAAGACAGTCCTTTATAAACCCTAAACCCTAATTCCCAAGCAATTTCGTACTTCTAGCGAAGATAAAAAGGAAACAAATTTGGATTTCCAAGTGAATGAAACTAAATTCATGTTGTCTATATTATGGGAGTTTAAGCAAAAGCAGCTTTTATAAAATATTTAACTTTTAGAGCATTAAAGTCGTAAATTGACTAAATTCTAGACAAGTTTTTTTTTTCAATTGAATTTAAATTAAATTAATTAATATTTTTAAACTCATAATGCAATATTCATTAATCAACTAAAACTAGATTATATATACAAGATTTAGATTATATATCAAAATTTCAATTTGTGCCCGGACCATGAATCAGATAGTGCCATATGCCCGTCTTTCAAAGAAGGTTCTCTACTGGGAAGATTGTGAGTCCAGTCAAAATAAGCTATAATTACAAAATTTTACTCAGATTTACTAAGAATTTAAATGGAAGATATAGTGTTTTGGAACTTGAATGAAAGAGGTTTTCAAAAGTAGTCATTTAGTGGGAAAAGTAGGACTCGGTGATAATTTTCCCAAAAAGAAATCTGTATGCAGAGCTAACAGAATGGAATCAGTTTGCATTAGAAGGGTAATAACAAAGGCACCCAATTAAGCTTTTCCAAATGTAGGAAAAGAACTTCATGTTATCCATTATGGGACGACTTTAAGCAAAAGCAGCTACTTGCCTGGATCGTATTGTGCGCAAAAAATCTTTGTTTGCTACCACGGAAGCTAACATCAACCCGTTCCCAGCTCACCTTTGTAAGACCTCTGATCATTGTCTCTACAATTTGTGTACAATGAATGAAAATGAATAATTTCTGAGGAGCTCGAATGGTTAAATAAAGATTTTATCTATATCTAAGAAGCTGGAATGATATAATAATAATTTCATCTTAAAGTTTTGACAATCATGGGACTTAAACCATATAAAAGAACAAATTTATAGATATAACAGGAATAAATTGTTTTAAAGCATATTTTCATAAGCTCCATGCATGTATTGCCAAAAGTTCTCTCTCACTATCTCCTACACACTTAAAAATTTCCAAAATTTCCCTAATAGAGTACAATGCATGTTAGACCAATTTATTCCTGCCGATCCCTAAGCAACCTATACATGCAAGCAACAATCTACCCTCAGTATCTTGCAAATCCTAAAATACGTAATGATATGAAGCATGTCCCTATTGATGAAGGGTAGTCTTTATTTCTACTAGTTTGTTAAAAAGGAAAAACCATGGTTCCCCTTAAATTTTAGCTCTGAAACAACACAGCTCTTTCTCTTGTGAACGGGAAGGAAAAAAAAAAAACTCTTTCCCTACAAATATGCCAACAGTCTATGAACACAAGTGCACTAAGGTGCAAACAATTTAAAAAATATAACAGCTTTGTCCAAATAATAACTGTAGTAATCAGTTCGAAGATATAACAAATAAACTAACCTTCCATGTCAATTGTCTTATATCCATCGACTTTGGTCTCCAAAGAGAATTCTTCTTCAGAATCCACAGTTTTTGCTGCTTCCTCATTTACAATATGTGGATATTTGTCATTTTTTGAAAGATGTTGACGCTGGAAAATGAAAAATATAATGATAATCATTGCAGATACAATTTAAAAGTTCAATAAAAGCTTTATAATTACCTTTGGGAGCTCATTTCGGCGCCGGATCGATGATGTACTCCATCCCACAAGATCTTTAAGCGTCAAGTCCTTCATGTAAACAAGACGGCGTAACAAGATTATAGGGTCAATATGCATATATGGTCAGATCTGGCAATTAACTCAAATTCTCATCTTTTGTCTATGCTTTTGAAGATTAGGTCCAAACATCATCTATATGACCTCAATATTTTTATTAGAATATTAATATCCATTCTATAAGAAACAAATATCATAGAGGATACGATCAAATTTGGCATTTGCATAGGCAACACGACGCCTGAATGACTGTAAAGCAGACCTGTAGAGAAAACACAGGCGTGAAGGCATGTTCGAAGTCATCTACATACACACAGTGCATTTTATATGTTTCCAAATTTAAATTTAATATATTTCATAAAGACTCACATAAATTTAAGATCTTCATAGTCATTGACCATCTGAACTAGAAGAGGGGATTTTTCCTTATCACAATCTGTCAAAAATAAATGTTTCCCAGTTCTTGAAAAAAGCCATGATGTCCGAGATGCTACCTTCTCCACAGTGTAAAAGCCACAAAACATTGGGACCTGGACAAGCATAAAACTCATGATGATACAAAAACGGAAATGTACGAAGCACCATAATGGTGGTGTAAGAAGCAAGTCAAAGTAAATAGCTAATACATATTTTCTTCATGCTCTTAATCACAACTCTGCGGATACCCATCATGTAGAATGAAACCACATTACATTCTTTAACATTAAAAAGTACTTGAGTAAAGTTATCGAATACAGGATAAGGCAGTAAATGATTTAGTACGGAAAAAAAAAAAAAATTAGGCCTGCTGAAGAAAATCACCACAAATATAGAACAATGATAATATAAGCTCATATATTCATGTAAAAACTGCATGGTACAGATACAGAGCAAAAGAGGCTTTTCAAACCAATAAAACCAACAGTGGCCGTATCTTTTCCTCAGGCATATATTGCTCAGATCCCACAAGGGAAAGTGATCTACATGAAAGTCAATGTTTACAGTTTGAAGTGGAGACCATGCAGATTTATTTCTGGTAATGTTGCAATCAAAAGGAACACCATAGAGTCCTCTGAACCAAAGAATAATTATATTACCTCATCAATCTCTAACAGACTATTCACCATCATAAATGTAAGAGAATCATAACCAGCTAATACTTTCAACTGTTTTATCTTCTTTCTCTGAGGTGATTGTTTGCTCCACAAAAATTCCTCTTTAGTTGACATATGATGGAGGTAATTTTGTTGATTAAAAAACACTGGGAGGTAAAAAGTTGCAAAAAATTCTTCCACTTAGCTCAATCAAGGTCACACAGTTTAAATCAATCCACTGGAAGTCCAGAAATGAGTTTAATAAATAACTAAATGTACATCTACATCCTTGTGAAATTTCATTCAAGATGGCTTGACTCTTTATATGAGAGGACTTCTTTAAATTTCAACTAACAAATGGTTTTGTTGTCAAAAAGCTTTGAAGTAAAAACTCTCTCATGATATACACACGGTTTACTTCGTTAGAATACGAAAAGGATTACAGAAGATGATAAATCACCTGCTTATGTCCCCTTGAACCAAGGTGTGGTGTTGCCACGGTTATGAAATTCATGGGTTCCAGTCCAGCAATTTTGCCTTTAAATTTCTCTTCCGAGCATGGATGATTAGATTTATCACTTCCACATTCTCCATTTCCTTGAGAAGGTTTCCTTTGGATATCTTGACCATAAAGCTTAGCAATAGCATATCTTGCTATGAGGCCACCAAGTGAGTGAGCTATAAAAGATATTTTCTGAAGATCTAGATAACGGGTTATAACAGATATCACCTGAAAGAATCAATACTTATTTAATTTTCTAGCTTGGAGTGCCAATTCCAACAAATTGAAGAGTCATACTAACAACTCAAAGACAAATGAAACCAAATCAAAGACAAATAACAATGAGGCATTAGGAGAAGAAAAACAGCGAGTTGTTGATAATGGAACCCTTACGCACCTCGTCCGCTAGTCTCTTTCCCATTACATCAACACCGTCAAATGTTAACATTGAAGAATTACACTCACTGCCTGAAGATAACATACTGATAAATACAATTCACATTTATAACAAAATCCAGTAACACTAGTGAAACCAAAGAATGCAGTCAAGAAAAATTCAAAAGCTTTAAAGAATTGTAATACCCATTTCCAAAGGGGCAATAGTTCCTATTGTAAGTTTGTAGGTCCTACATTATATGATAGAAGGAAAATGATTTTGTTGTCCTTATGTGATGATACTTAGAAACCAAAATGGCCGATACACTGTCACAAATTAAGATACCACAAACAGGAGGATTTTAGATCAGATATGGGAACCAGTTGCTCATGCGTTATTGAGATAAAAAAAGATGCCAATATCTTATATATAATGACTCAAGTATTTCTGCAGAACACAGAAGAAGTAACTATCAGTGGCTCTTTAACCAAAAAAAAAAAAAAAAAACCTCCTTTCCTAATAAAAAAGGGAACATCGAGAATAAATTCTTAGAAAGTTTTAAGACTCTTCTCACCTATCTGATCCTCCATGGATCATGGTTCAGGTGATCCATGGGATCTAGATTTGGCCAACTAAGTGATAAGAGTGGTTAGATATGAATTCAAGTCGTTGAGTATTGAAGAGTGAGACTGTGGAACTCGTTGACATAGCTAAATATATGGTAGGTACCAAGGTAGCTAATGTTCAAAAATTTCTCAGGCCCGTATATGGAGGAGTTTTATGTGGCCTGTGACATAGGCCCGTATATAAGGATCGCAATTATTAATACTACTGCAGTCAAGATTGTTTTATTTTGCAATAGATGGAACAATAGTATGCTATTAGTTTCTTTCCTATGGCTTTCTAAGAAAGGTTGTCTAGGAATTTTTACGTTGCTAAAATGCACATACACCTGACAGAATTTTAAGCAATTATTCAAAGATAATCACTATCTACTGTTGTAGTGGATTTTGTTCAACCTAGTTGTCTCTTCTTTTCTAGATGTGCCACTTTGGTAAATTCAATGGTGAAGGTATGTTAAAGAGGCCTATCTTGAGGTTAGACCTAGTTTTAGTCTTTGAGACCAAGGATAGATAGTTTGGGAAAGGTGATATTTCAATAGCAAATAAATAATGGTAATGGAAAAGTACAACGAGCACAGAAAATTACTTTAAAAAGAAAACAAAATAAAAGCAATACATTTCATGACAGATATGCACAGGGACAGGAAGGTGCAGGAATTAAAAACTCACAGTGAACGATAATGTCTTGAGGATACCTCTTCAAGAATTGCTTTGCAGCAAATCTCCAATTCTGAGCACTGAATGCATACAAAAAGGAAACCGAAACAATTCACACGTGCACGAAGTGAAAAACTAACCTCGAACAATCAATAAGTAACGAAAGGCCACAAGCATGCCAATTCATATTAAATCAAAATGCTTTGATTACTCAATCCAAAAAGAACTTGTGGCAAACAACTTTGTATCTTAAGTAGTCCAGTAGAGATTGTTCAACAACATGACAACGACCGTGAATTGTTGTGATACTATGGGGAAACATATGTTGTATACCACATGCATTAATTTAGAGTGGGACTGAGGTAACATTTTAAATAGACATGGTTATAAATTTCTAAAGTAAATTATGTAATGATATTATTATAATTGGAGAGTTGCTTTCAGCCCTGTATATTAATCCAAAATGTTGTGATCATTGAATTTGACAAGTTCTCAATTTATTTCTGAGAACTAGCTGAGCTATTATTGTGCAATGATCTTCTCCTTTTATTACCCTCCTCTAAATTCCATATCCAGTAAGAATCCTATTCATAGTTCTCGATGCTTATCTTAATACAGATAAACTGCGGGAAAAAGTCTGAAACTTTTTTTTAAACCAATAGATTGTAGACTAATAAAGGAGGTCAAATAACATAGCATGCCATCATGCACTCCAATAGGAGTTATTGCTTTCTCATTCATAAACTAAAATATCACAGAAGGGAAATATACTTTAAAACACACGCACAACTATAGACCAATCTAAGTTAGCATCATAGTACAATCTACTATTTATGATTGCAATTCCACTTCAAATGATGCATTAACTTTAACCTGAATCGTAGCACTCACTAATTTCTCCATCATTTACATTCTCTTCTATATATAATTACAAAGATTGCAATGACAATAACTAGGTACTATTTAATAAAATTGAAAATTAAATACTGTAAAATTTTAAAAACTGAACTGAAATTTTTTAACTGATAATAAAAATTGATTTTCTCTAATATATTTTTGAATTTTAAGTGTTGTTAAGTGAATTGAGTTACCAAACAGAACGAGCAAACAATTCGAGTCTATGCAATCAAAGATACAAATAAATTCAAGGCTTTAATACACAAATCAACAGCATTACTTAATTTGGTATAATCTCCACAAACCCAAGTAACCCATTTTAGAAATATATAAATATATATATGAATTCAAATCATTAACATAATCAGGGCATGCAGTAGTACTTTACTAACCTCCCAATGATGCCGTTGACCATAATCACCAGGTGAGTCGGCGACCGATCCTTTCCGGTACAACCGGACTCCATATCGAAATTCCCAGCACCGTCCGATCTCTCGACCGTCGGTTTATCATAGTCCGAACTGAAGCACCCAAATTTCGGCATGTACGAAAAAGACCTCTTCTTCCTATTCTTAGCCGAATTCATCTCCGATATTTCCCCTCCCACCTCTTTAACAGTCCCTGAACTCTACAACTCCGCAGAACATATTATGTGTGTATAATATATATATATATATATATATATACACATCCATGACATAGAGATTGATGAATAAGGAGGTTGATGGTTAACAAATAGGGCCGGCGGTCCCACCGAAGCCGGTAGGACGGAACTGTGTGTGCATATATGTGTATATATTGGTATGATTTCAACGGAGCTATGAGGTTGGATTGAATTGACATAACGGACCTTGATTTTTGATGCATGTGTAGTTATGCATAGCAATCAGATGAGGGCTAAATTTGGGATTTTGGGGCACAGGAAGTTTGAAGAGACGGTTATGTTTTGTTATTCCTCCCTTTTTAGAATGAAACAACGATAAGAAATTCTTTGGACCAACTTCTTGTTCACCTCTGTGTCATTGTTATTTCTTTTTCATTTTTAAATTGTCATTATTGTTCATATTCAAAATGTGATAATTGAGGGTCCAACACATTTGATAACGTAAAATGTGTTTATATACTTAGTAATGTTAAAATGTTAATGTCTGGTGAAAACAAATAGAATATGTTAGTGGAGTTCCAACATGTTTGATAACGTAATTTAAATATAATTAAAAATAGTAAGTGACACTTAAAATAATATAAAACTTTAAATGACACGACATCAAATATTTATTTTTTAATTATTATTTATAAATATCAACAAATAAAATTTAATTCTTAAAATTTTCATTACTTAATTTTCAGTTTTATCAAACAACACTTTCCTCTAATTATTTCTGTTGTTTGGAAAAAGTGTGTGAGCTTATAAATTATTATTTTTTATTTTATTTTTGGTGTTCAACACAATGCCCATATCGTTGCATTTATACTATTTAACAATAGAATAAGTATCACTTTTCTCTTTTAAAGATCAATTAGTCCTATCAAATTTTAGTAAGCCACTGGATTAATTCTATGTTTAAAATCTAATTAATCCCCAAAATTTTCAATCTTCTATTTTAAACCCTTTTCAAATTACAGATATTAATATGTTATTACCTACAAAAATATATATTTTTAAAAATTATTAGCAGCCGAATGTTTGGTAGTTAGTATAAGTATTTCTAGAGTTATCGGCAACCGTTTTGGTTTTACATTTTTATTTCATATGAAGTAATTTATTCCAAAACATAAAAAAGTTCGGTAAAATTTGTTACACAAGGATATGAGTCTCAGAAGTGAGAAGTTGTCAAACAGATTATTGGCGCGGCAGCAGCCTCCAACAGGTCTAAATTACTCCTCTAGGTGGGCAGTGGAACTCTCTCTCTCACACACAAACACAAACACAAACACACACAACATTCTGAAAGTGGATCACTAACTAGATCTCCTCATTATTTCTGAAGCTATTTTTACATTTTTCATATTTAGAATGAATGATTTACATAATTTTATGGTACAAGAAACACAATCGTGTGAGTGAATGTAAATTATAGACTTCTATAAGAGAAAATTGTCCATCATGTGTTGTATCACATCGGCTCCATCAGAATTGACGCAGTAGGTATTTACCTGAACACACACAGCAAAAGAAAATGTCACTACCATCCATTATACGTAACATTCATCATTCAACACCAGCACAACACAGTCGTTTATAAACCCTAATTCCCAAGCAATATCGTACTTCTAGCCCCAAAAAAACAGGCAACAAATTTGGCTTCCCAAATGTATGAAAAGAAATTCACGTCATCTACATATTATGGGACTTTAAGCAAAAGCAGCTACTTGCCTGGATCGTACCATGCGCGAAAAATCTTTGTTTGCTTCCACGGAAGCTAACATCAACGCGTTCCCAGCTCAATTTTGTAAGACTTCTGATCATTGCCTCTACAATTTGTGTACAATGAATGAGAGTGAATAATTTCCGAGGAGCCGGAAAGGTTAAATAAAGATTTTATCTTTTTCCTGCAAATTTTTTTTAAGCCAACAGTCTGGGAATGTACGTGCACTAAGATGCAAACGATACAAACAGAAGTGTGGTAATCAGTTCGAACAGATGATCACTAAACTAACCTTCCATGTCAATTGTCTTGTAACCATTGACTTTGATGATCTCCAAAGAGAGTTCTTGTTGAGGATTCGCAGTTATTGCTAGCTCCTCATTTACAATATGTGGATATTTGTCATTTCTTGAAAGACGTTGACGCTGCAAAATGAAAAATATAACGTGAGTCATTGCAGATACAATTCAATAGTTCACTAAAAGCTTTAAAATTACCTTTGGAAGCTCACTTCGGCGCCGTATCGATGATGTACTCCATCCCACAATATCTTTTAAGTGTCAAGTCCTTCATATGTAAACAAGTAGGTGTAACAAGATATGAAGATTTGGTCCGAACATTGTATATACGTCCACAATATTTTAATTAAAAAACCTCTAATTCTATAACAAAAAATATCAACATTATAGAGGATACGATCAAAATTTGCATTTGCATAGGCAACGCGACGCTTGAACGACTTTAAAGCAGAACTGCAGAAAGAGCACGGGCGTGAAGGCATGTTTGAAATGATTTGCATTCACAGGGGGCATGATATTTTTATATGTTTTCAAATAAAGATAGGGCTCACATAAATTTAAGATCATCAGTGTCATTGACCATCTGAAGTAGAAGAGGTGGTTTTCTCTTATCACCATCTGTCAAAAATAAATGTTTCCCGGTTCTTGCAAGAAGCCATGAGGCCCGAGATGCTACCTTCTCCATAGTGTAAAAACCGCAACACACAGGGACCTGGACAATAGCTAATACATATGTTATTCGTGCTCTTAACCACAACTCTGCAGAGCATCATGTGAGAATGAAATCACATTATGTAAGCTTAAATATGGTCTTCTAAAGAAGAATCACCACTAGTGTAGAACAATGATATGTAAGCTTAAATTTTCATGTGAGAACTGCGGAGGGTTTTCAAACTAATAAAACCAATAGTTCTTGTATTTTTTTTCCTCAGGCATATATTGCTCAGATCCCACAAGGGAAAGTGATCTACACTAAAGTCCAATGTTTACAAATTCCTCATAACGTTGCAATCAAACAGAGTATCACAGAATCCTCTAAATCAAAGAATGATCATATCATCTCGTCAATCTCTAACAGACTATTCATAATCAGAATTGTAATAAAATCATAGCCAACTAATACCTTTAACTGTTTCATCTTCTTTCTCCGAGGTGATTATTTGCTCCACGAAAATTCTTCTTTAGGTGATGCATGATAGATTTACAAAATCGGAGAGTTGCAAAAATTTCTTCCACTTAGCTCAATCAAGGTCACACAGTTTAAATCAGTCCTCAGAAAGAACAGAAATGAGTTATAACTACATGTATGTCTACATCCTTGTGAATTTCATTCAAGATGACTTCTGTTTTTATACGAGAGGACTTCTTTAAATTTCAACACGCTTGGTTTTGTTGTCAAAATGCAATGTATACTTCATTTGAATATAGAAACGGATTACAGAAGATACCTGCTTATGTCCCCTTGAACCGAGGTGTGGTGTTGCCACAGTTATGAAATTCATGGGTACCAGTCCAGCAATTTTGTCTATAAGTTTCCCTTCTGAGTCTATAAGTTTCTCTTCCGAGCATGGATCATTAGATTCATTACTTCTACATTCTACATTCCCTTGAGAAGCTTTCCCTTGGATATCTTGATCATAAAGCTTAGCAATAGCATATCTTGCTACAAGGCCACCAAGTGAGTGACCTATAAAAGAAATTTTCTGAAGATTTGGATAACCGGTTATAACGGATATCACCTGAAAGAAGCAAGACTTGTTTAATTTTCTTCCTTGGAGTGTCAATTCCAACAAATTAAAGCGTCATACTAACAACTCTATTTATAAATGAAATAAACAAATGAAACCAGATGGACGACCAATAACCATGAGGCATTAGAAAAAAAACAGCTATTACGCACCTCGTCCGCTAGTCTCTTTCCCATTACATCAACACCGTCAATTGTTAACATTGAAGAATTGCATTCACTGCCTGGAGATAATATTAATTAAATGCAATTTACATTTATAACAAAATCCAGTAAAACCAGTGAATAACAGACAAATAATGCAATCAAGAAAAATTCAAGATCTTTAAAGAAATTTAATACCATTTTCAAAGGGGAAATAGTTCTTGTTGCAAGTTTGTAGGTCCTACATTACATGATAGAAGGAATTTTGTTGTCCTTATGGGAACCAGTTGCTCATGCATAATTGAGATAAAAAAATGTGCGGATATCATATATATAATTCCTCAAGTATTTATGCAGAACACAGAAGAAGTAGCTGTCAGTGGCTCTTTAAGAAAAAAAAACAAAAACCCCTTTTCTGATAAAGACGGGAACATCAACTCTCAACTATCTGATCCTCTGTGGACCATGATTCAGGTGATCCATGGGATCTAAATTTGCCCAACATAGTCACAAGTCTGGTTAGATATGAATTCACTGATTGTAGTCAGACTGTGGTACTCGTTGACATGGCTAAATATATGGTAGGTACAAAGGTATAGCTAACGTTCAAGGATTTCTTAGGCCTGTATATGCACTCAAAATTGTTGTGAATTCTCAATGGTAGAACAATAGTAAGACGTATACTATTAGTTTCTTTCTTATGGATTTCTAAGAAAGATTGTCTAGGGAATTTCTACGATGCTAAAATGCTCTTAAACCTCAAGAACTTAAAGCAATTATTCAAAGATAATCTGTCTAAATCAATGGCGAGGGTATGTTAAACAGTTCTATCATGAGGTTAGACCTAGTTTGAGTCTTTTGAGACCATGGATAGATATAGTTTGAGAGGTGATACTTGAATAACAAAGAAATAATGGAAATCGAAAAGTACAATGATCACAGAAAATAACTCTATGAAAAAAACTAAAACAAAAACAATAAATTTCGTGGCAGATATCCACAGTTTCCCAGATGTTGCAGGGATAAAAAGACTCACGGTGTACGATAACGTCTTGAGGATACCTCTTCAAGAACTGCTGTGCAGCAAATCTCCAATCCTGAGCACTGAATGCATAAAACGAAGGAAACCGAAAAAATTCACGCATGCACATGGTGGGAAAATGAAATAATGGGACATTTTAACAATTAATTGAAGGCCTCAAGCATGCCAATCCATTATAACTCTAAATGCTTTGATTACTCAGGCTGAAAAGTACTTGTGTTTATAACAGAATTTAAACCGATGGATTATAGACTAACACAGGAGGTCAAATAACATAGCATGCCATCATGTAATTGTTTTCACATTCATAAACTAAAATATCACATGTTAGACTTTTTTTTAGAATATATTGTTACAATGTATTATTAGAATATATTCTATAATATGTTGTTACCATGTATAGGTTTACCATATAGAGTTTATGTTTACTTACTTTCCACACATGTCGTCTCCTACATAAACCCCATGTCATCTCCTACATAAACCCCTATGTCTTCTTATATTTCACCCATCAATACAATATCATATCTATTCTCTCTCATTATTTCTAACATGGTATCAGAGCCTTTTGATCTCATCGTAGTCACCGCCAGGGATGAAATCATTAGCCCCATCTTTGTGGGAGGCGGTCAACCAACAAACTCACGCTCCGCACTCCAAGATATCCATATGCCCCGTCCAAGGAAGCCTCGTTGTCTAAGTCTTCCTTTCGGAAACCCAACGAGATGTCTCATCTAGAGAGGCCCCGCTTAGGGATGCCCCGTATAGGGAAGCCTCAAGTGATAATCCCATTCTTCCATGCGCCTTCACGTGCACCAGCGGTAATCCCGCTCCTTAACGTGTCGGATCATTTCCATCACAGCGCCACCATGCGTTGCTCAAGTGGTAATCCTACTATTCCATGCGCTTTCACGCGCACCAGCGGTAATCCCGCACTACAACGTGTCGAATCAGTTCTGTCATCACGCCATCACGCACCATCAGTAGTCATCATGCACTCACACGCGCCTTCAACGTAGTGAATCTTCACAAATTCATCACCCATCAGTTTATAGTAGTTACCACTAGGGATGGCAACGTCAACCTATTCATGCTCCGCACCTACCTCTAAGATCTTCACAGATCCACGCTACGTCACTTGACATGTTAGCATTGGTGCAACGTCAGACACATTCTGCAATATTGCCAGTAATTGTGCCACGTTACCTACCACCTCAATTGCCACGCAATAGAGGTGCCAGCAGTAGTACCAAGTCCCCTGCCACTTCAGTTGTCATGTCATCAACCACGTTAGTATCGGTGCCAAGTCAGCTACATCAAGGTTAAAGGATTATCTTCAAACTCAAGATGGCGTAATATAACCCACCTTGCTTTGAGGGGCTGTTAGAATATATTATAGAATATATTGTTACCATGTATTATTAGAATATATTTTATAATATATTGTTATCATGTATATGTTTACCATATAGGGTTTAGGTTTACTTGCTCTCCACACATGTCGTCTCCTATATAAACCCTTATGTATTATTATATTTCACACATCAATACAATATCATATTTATTCTCTCTCATTATTTCTAAGATCACATAAGGGAAAAATTAAAACACACACAACAACAGTGGTGTAGCCACAGAGGGACGAGTGGGGACAATTGCCCCCGCTGAACCTTTAATTTTTTAAAATTTTATATGGAGAGATTTTTATATTTGTATAATTGTCCCCTCTAAAATTTGACAATGCATGTGTGTGTGTGCGTGTGTATATATATATATATATATATAACCAAAAGCTCATTCAGGGTTATCTATCAATTTATATTTTTCCAGAAATTATGATATTTTTTTCCACTTTCCCAAAATATTATATTCTTCTCTACTTTCCAAAAAAAAAAAAAAAAACATTTCATCAAGATATTCTATATTACATCTTCAGTCTTCAAACATTTTCCACAATCCAAACAAAGCAAGCAGAGTTACCTAGATAGAGACTCAATGCAGTGCGGCAGACAGGTAATCTAATATATATTTTTTATCATTTAAATTTTACAATTATTATTTGATATTATAATTTTAATTAGAAAAATTATTAGTTATTACTATCAAAATTATTTTAGGACTTGTTGTTCTTTCAAAAATTAGTTTTTGTAATTGTATTATTAATTATTATTCTCTAAATAAAACTTAGAATTTTTTATTTTTTATTTTATTTTTTAATTTGCAACCTAAATCAATGAAATCACTTATTCAACTCTATCAAATTTTCTGATTGATTGAATTATCTGGTTATATCTTATAAGGTTAGATTTGGTTATCATGGTTTTTTATTTTTATTTTTCCTACATATGTGATATATTAGACCAATTAGGTAACTGTGTTATTTTCTTTTTCATATCTTATTCTTGATTCATTGAATATGAATTTTTTTAGTATATTTAATTCAATGAATTAAATTTTGAAACAATAATGAATAATGTGAAAAATCATTGTAAATGTATTGAATAGAAATATTATGAATTACATATATTGTTTTGGTAAAAATTATATATATAAATATATATATATATATATATATATATATTATTGCTATTAAATATTAACCCCACTGAAGGAAATTCCTGCACAACAATGATTAATAATGATTAAAACACGCACATTCATAGACCAATCTGAGTTAGCGTCATAGTGGCATCTATTAATAACGATTGCTATTCTACTTCAAATGATGCATTAGCTTTAATTTGATTAGTAGCACTCACTTATTTCTGCCTTTTCCATTCTCTTCTATAGAATTACATAAAATTGCAATGTCAATGCTGTTTGATAAATTGAAAGATAAGTACATAAAATTTTACGAATTGAAATTATAAGTGATGAATTGGCAATAAAAATTGATTTTTTTTTTTTTTTTTTTTTAACATCTTTTGATTTTCAAGTGCTCAACATTCAATGACTAAAGTCACTATCGGTTAAAATTTTATCCATTTTAAGCAAAGCATTTTAAGTGATATTCTATTTGCGTTATCAAATGCACTTAATTGGTCTAATACTTAATAGTGTAGAACTAAATGCTGAATTGAGTTATCAAACGACACAAGTATGTTCAATAAGTAAACAATTCAAGTCTATATAGACATGCAGAGTGATGGGTAGTGTGGAGTCTGATAGATATTGTCCATCAAGGCTTAACTCTGCGGATCCAACTTCGCGGTGAGTTAGCGGGGGGTCGCAACCCCTTTGCCTGAAAGTGTTGGGGGGGGGGGGGGGGGGGGGGGTGTTACCCCGACCCGAATTTTTTTTGGAGGGTATTTTCGTAATTTTCGCACTTGTTATGTTGCCCTAGTGCTAGAGTATTTATTCATTCTGAACTCTCTGTATCCGCTGCTATTTTTTATCATCATAGTGAAATCCCTGCAGCCTTTGGACGTAGCCCTTATTCTTTAGGTGAACCAAGTAAAATATGATTTCTTTTATGTATTTTCTGTTTAATTTTGCAACACAGGGTAAAATCTACTAATAATGATAAGTATAGACAGTTGCAGAGCCAGAAATTTACTTCAATGGGGCAACCATTGACAATAATGTGATAGGAAAATTTGAACCATTTTTTTTTTTTTTTGGTGAAAAGGAGGTGGTCTTATTGAATTTTGATGCTTAAAAATGTTGTGGGATTCACTGAAGGAGAAAAAGAGATGGGTTATTTTAAATTTTGAAATCTTTGTTGGACAAATAAGTTAGAAAATGAGGAGAATTTTTTAATTTTGACTTTTTAAAAGACCTTTTGTGAATTTTCTAAAAGTTCAGCGGTGCAATTTAAGAATTATATCTATATATCTATATATATATATATATATATAAAGCTTATAAAAAATATAAATAACTAAAAATTCTAGTGGGGGCAACGACCAATCTGAGTATGCATCATGGTATAATATACTAATAATTATTGCAATTCCACTTCAAATGATGCATTAGCCTTAATCTGATTAGTAGCACTCAATTTATTTCTCTGTCTTTCCCATTCTCTTCAATATAATTACTAAAATTCCTTACCAAAAATAAAAATAATAATAAAAAATTTACACAACAAGCAAGCAAAACAAATCAAGTTTATGCATCATTTTGAACTTGAGTATCATATGAACTCCACAAACCCAAGTAACCATTTTAAACCCATATTCCAATAATTCATCAATATATATATGAATCAGAGCATATACTACTAGTGTACTAACTACCAACCTCCCAAAGATGCCGTTGACCATAATAACCAGGTGTGTCGGAGACCGATCCTTTTCTGTACAACCGGACTCCATATCATCACCGTCCGATCTCTCTACCGTCGGGTACTCAAAGTCCGCCCTTAAACATCCAAATTTCGGCATATACGAATATCTCTTTTTATTCTTAGCTAGATCCATCTCCGATTTCTTCTCTCTCATTTCTTCAACAGTATTTGAACTCTGCAACTCCGTAGAATCCATGAACATATATATATATATATATGCACACAAATGTATCTATATAGAGAGAGAGAGGAGAGATATTGATGAATAAGGAGGAGGTTGACTGTCAACAAATTGGGCCGGCGGTCCCACCAAAGCCTGTACGACGGTACTGTGGGTTGAATATGTTTAGTATGATTGTTCAAAGGGAGATAATGCGTTTGGATTGAATTGACATAAAGCACCTTGATTTTGGACAATATTACTGAGTGTGACTTAAATATGTGGTGATTATGTACGGAGTATATCAATCAGATGAGGGTTAAATTTGGAATTTTGCGGCTCGAGGAAGTTTGAAGAGAGGCTCTGTTTATTTTTCTTACTTTCTAGAAAGAAGCAACGATCCGAAATTCTTTGTACCCACCATTGCTGTTCACCCGTGTCCTTACTTTCATTTTTAAATTGTCATCTTTGTTAAGAAAAATTTAAGACATTGCGACATCTATATGTCTCGTGGAGTTCATGAAGCACGCCACAATGTCTTGGTAGGTGACCAACATGTAGATGTTTATAGGAACGGCAATGAGACGGTTTTTGACGGGAATTCTATTCTTCATTTCTATTTTTCAAGATTTGTCTGATTTTTCAAAGCAATTTTTATTACGTCCTTATTTACATAATTCGTTTTTCAAAATTGTCCCAAACGAGGCACTAGGGTGAAATTTTTTGTCATTTCTTTATATATAATTGAGGAGCGGGGCCACTAGGGTGAAAATTTTTGTCTATCTCTTTATATATAATTGAGTAACTTAACCTATTTTAGAAATATATTATACTATGTAAAAGTAATTTAATAAACTTATAGTATACTCGGGACGAGGAGGGACAACATCCCCGAAACCGTCCCAAAACTCATCGACGTTTTCAAAGCAACTCCCATTCTGTTCTTATTTACATAATCGGTTCTCCAAAACCACTCCCAAACAGGGCTGGGCGAAGCAGGCCGCCAACCATCCCTAGATGTTTATAATGGGTGTATATTTATAATTGGGTTAATTCCATAAAATGGAGTTTTGGAGGTCAAACGAACAAAAGAATGGAGTCAAAATTAAAATTTCTATATTAATGGATTTTTCTCAAAATTTGACGTGGACATAGAAATTTAATATACATTATATATTTATTTTCAAAATATCCTTCTATTGTTGTTATGAAATTCTGTTACTACCTCTCATATCTAGAGAGAGAAACCTATACATGACAACCATTCTTCCCAAACGAACAACCAACAAACTTGAGAAATTCATCCAAAACTTCTAGTCATTTGCATTTTTCTAATGATTAAATGGATTTGCTAATTTTTTTTTTTAAATGGGTTTGCTTGTTAGGTGGGTGAAAGAAATAGATGGCCAATCAAAAAGAAAGAATTATTTTTGCCATTACAGATGAACACATTCAGAAGGGGTTGTGTGGAGGGAAAAAAACTCCCTCCAATAAGAAGCGCACACGTCACCACTACCCATATCTACATTCCAAGGACATATAAGGCCCATCATGCTCAAGCCCAAATTAAGGGTATTTACAGCCCAAGACCATTGTTAGTTATCCTCCAACTTCCATCAAGGCCGAATCAAGAAGTCATCAGCCCAGCTTGTCGTCAGCCCAGCGTATGAGTATTTAACATCCGGCCTGTTACCCAAGCCCAGCCGGATCAAAATATATTCAGCCCAAGAATGCGCAAATCCTACCATTTGAAGGATTTATTGTAGAAGGAAAATTTGGATAGGAAGTTCTGTACAAGGCAATTTCTATGTATGGAAGATTCGACAATGGAAAGAACTCTATTAGAAAAGAATGGTTATATAGAAAGAATTGGAGGGCAAGTAACGCGAGTCCTACCATAATTTTGCAATTTTTTGTATATAAATAGAGGCTAAGACCTCCAATAAAGGATCAAGCAATTCCACACTTCTCTATACATTGTTCTTATTTATTTTTATTGTTTTTGAGTGAGTTGTTTTATTTTTCTCAGTCATTATTGGTTGGGCGAAATTTTGCACCTACACTTTGGCGCCGTCTGTGGGAAGCGTATACAAATATACTCCCACTTGTTTTTCAAATTAAATCTTTTAGTCGTGTCTGGAATGTCAAACGGAGATTCAGCAATGAATCAACAGATAGAACTGATGCAAAAGATGCGAGAAGAGTTCTTGCACCAATTTGAGACACTCCGGCAAGCAAACGATACGAGTGTCGCCCAGATAGCTGCGCTTCAGCAGCAGACTCATACGCTGCACACAGCCATGGCCAGGCTAACGCCACAACCACCACCAGGCGATGCTGCGGCACCACCTCCCACCCGGAATTTACCTCTGGTTCACGAGCCTCCAGCCAACGAGACACCACCCAACGGGGCTCGACCTAGTGAGGCGCAGCAAAAGCAAGGGACGAGGTCCGAGGCGGTTGCTTCGGATAATCTCCCGCATCGCACACAGGACGAACAGGCCGAGTCCAGCCATAGGCTTACGGTATGGTCCAATGGCGTTCCAGATGGCGCACGTGTACAAGATGCATTCGATGAAAAAAAGCTCTTGAGAGTCCAGACACCAGCCGAGATGGCTAGAGAGCACAAGAACTCCTTGGTCAAGACCCCCTTTACTGACGAGGTGTGCCTTGTGGAGAGGCCGAAGAAGTTCACTATGCCATCCTTCACCCAGTTCAATGGGGCAGGCGACCCTTTTCGGCATCTTGATCATTATGCGCAAAAGATGGCATTGGACGATCATAACGATCCGTGGATGTGTAAGGTTTTTCCTACTAGTTTAACCGGAGCAGCGTTAGAATGGTTCAGGAATAGGCCACACAAGTCTATCCCTGACTATGAGACCTTGTGCACTATGTTCTTAGCCCAGTATTGCGGAAATAAGAAGCAGAAGAAAAGTATAGCCAGCCTTTTTACCATAAGGCAAAGGAAGGGAGAAACTCTGCAAGATTTTTTATCCAGATTTAACATGGAAGCCTCGGAGATAGCAGATTGCCATCCTGCCACGGTAATTGAAACATTTAAGTTGGCAATGATCCAGGGAACCAAGTTTCACACATCCTTGGTCAAATATTCCCCCCCGGATATGCAGACTTTGAATGCTAGGGCACAAATCTACATTCGGTTGGAGGAAAACGTAGCTCACCGTGCGCAGCACGCTACCCTCGTCACAGTGGAAAACAAGTCTCGAGAGAAAGCTGCGAGCACAAGGATGCAAAAGGTTCCTCATACCGCCACACAAGCCACCCAAGCATCTGAGAAAAGGCGAAGGACGGAGGACAGGCTTACCCCTCTTCGTACTACCTTGGCGCGCCTATTCCAAGAGAATAAGACGAGGTTCGCAACTCCTCAGCCCATGAAACAACCCTTGGAGCAGAGGGACAAAAACAAACATTGTGCCTACCATAGAGATTATGGGCATACCACCAATGACTGCAGGTCCCTACAGCGACAGGTAGAAAGCATGATAGCAAGAGGAGAATTGGTGGAGTATCTCGCCACGAAGGAGCACGTAAAACCTAGGGAGGTTAACCCTCGACGGGTAGAGGGCAGTCAGGTAAAGGTTATCCATGCTATTCACGGAAGGTCGGAGGATGATGAAGAGTCTGAAGAGTTGTACAGATCCAGGCTGCGAGAGGCTCATAAGTTACGAAGGTTGTCTTCGGTAAACACGGTTGCACCAGGCAGTATCAACATTGGATTCGGTAACAACGATTTTTCTAGAGTCCAGCGCCCACATGAGGACCCCTTGGTCATCAGCCTCCTGGTAGCGAATTACATGATCAGGAGAGTGCTGATAGATTCGGGAAGTAGCACCAACATCATTACAAAAACAGCTTTTGATCAATTGGGGATTTCACTGTCATCCATCAGGCCAACTTCCGGCCCCCTAATGGGATTTAATGGTACTAAGGTGAATCCGCTTGGGGTGATCGATCTATCCGTTACTGCAGCAAAGAGAACTCTGAAGGAAAACTTCGTCGTGACAGAGATTCATCCATCTTATAACCTCATTATGGGAAGAGGTTGGATCCATCGTATGAACGGAGTCCCTTCTACACTTCATCAAGTAATGAGGTGTTTATCCCCGGATGGCAGGGAGGTCATCGACCTCTGGGGAGACCATGTTGCTGCCAAGGAATGTTACATGCTAACGCTACACGAAGCAAAGAAAGTGTCGAAATCACCTCAGTCAGAGGCGAGTCCCAAAGATGCAACCAAATAGCAGTTACAGTATCCTCTGCCCAAGTATCTCAGGGCAGAGGAAAAATCCGAAGCTGAAGCACCTACCGAGGAGTCCCTCGAAGCTATAGAGGTAGTCCTCGGAGACCCTCAGAAGATCACCTATATTGGCTCATCTTGCACAGCCGAAGAGAAAGGAGCATTGATCGGGGTTATTCGGTGCAATTCGGATGTCTTTGCCTGGGATCACTCGGATATGGTGGGGATCAATCCTACAGTCTCATGCCATAGTCTGAGGGTTAACCCAGAATTTAGGCCAGTCAAGCAAAGGCACCGACGATTCGCACCTGAACGGAATCGCATAATAGCCGAGGAGGTAAATAAACTGTTACAAGCAGGATTCATTCGAGAGGTGCAATACCCACAATGGCTCTCAAATGTAGTAGTCGTTCAAAAGAAGAATGGGAAATGGAGGGTATGCGTAGATTATACCAACCTTAACAAAGCTTGCCCAAAAGATAGCTTTCCTCTGCCCAAGATTGATCAAATGGTGGATGCCACGACGGGTTATGAAAGGCTCACATTCCTCGACGCATACTCCGGCTATAATCAGATTCCCATGAATCCTGAAGATGAGGAGAAAACTGCTTTCATCACAGAAACGGGCACTTACTGCTACAGAGTGATGCCCTTCGGTCTAAAGAATGCCGGAGCCACCTACCAGCGACTTGTCAATAAAATCTTCAGTAATCTGCTGGGCGATACAGTTGAAGCCTATATCAATGATATGGTGGTTAAAAGTATACGGAAAGAGGACCACCCGAAGCACCTCCAGGAGGTCTTTGATACTCTCAAGAGATACAATATGAAGCTGAACCCCACCAAGTGCTCCTTCGCCGTTTCGTCAGGACAGTTCCTTG